AGACGAGCCGATAACTGAGGTAAATTAAAGTTGTTTTCACAGGAAAGCTCACCTCGCAGGCTGCTGCTGCTGCTGCTGCTTCTTCTTCCTCTTCTGCCGTTTCTTACTCTTGCCGGTGTCTCCGATCAGCTGGCGAGAGAGTGACGCGATTTGTAACAGCTGGCTAATGGTACTCCAACGTCAAAGGTTACGGGTGACGACGGAGCGCCGTAGCGACTGACTGACACCGGCTTCAGCCAATGACGAGCCTCTGCTACCGAGAACGGGGGCGGGACAATGAACTGTTAACCGATTAAAACGCTCTGTTTTCAATGACGCCTCACTTCTACCCAATGAGATACGCGAGAAAGTTTCTCGACACGAAAGTTCTGTTTCACGAAGCTGCCAAGGCTTACAGGCCTCAAAACAGTGTACATTTCTATATCCATTTATATTTTTATATCAGCTTTGAGATTTTTTTTGAATATGTTTTTTTTAAACTGGACAAGTTGATCAGTAGGCACTCCCAACAATATGGGTATATTCTAATAAAGAATCAATAAAGTATTACGTAAGCATTGATATCCTTGCTGAAAAAAGACCATTAGAACCATTAGGATTAAAACCTGATGGTTTTGCTTTCTAATGGGAATTCGCTTAATGGTTACCATTAGAGACCACTAGTTTCCTGTAGAATACCTTTAGATCCCTTTAGAAAACCATCAAATGATTCAGTCCCAGAACGCCTAATAAAACAATATAATCCTTTACACTGTGATATCAATCAATCAGAAAAACACAGAATACCATTAGTGACTACTGGACACCACCAGGAACTAATGTTTTCTATTGATTTTTCATGAGAGATGTTCTTTGTTGTGTTATGTAATATTCTGTGGTGCAGCATTGCATCCCTCAGCCTCAAGGGTTCAACAGATTCCACCATTTCACATCTTTTTTGTGCACATCAGTGTCTTTTCACTACAATACCCAGCATGCATTACGTGAATACATCATCTCACCTGCTAACATAGCTACTGATGTAGGAGCTAATAAATACAGCTGTGATATTTGGCTTCCTAGCAGTAACTCTATCCATTAGTCAATGAGCAGGTAAACAAATAATAATAAAAAATTCAAACAGCCCACCCTCATGTATCCACTCCAAGGCACTTGTATTTTTCAATACTTCCTCTCACCTTCAAGATACAGCATCAGATGGTTCTTCAAGGGTTTTTTAGTAAAGAAAGTGGTTCTAAATAGAACCACAAACACTTAAAGAACCCTTTGCATGATTAAAGGATTCTTCAGATTGATGGAGACTGTGTTCTATATGGTTCTTTATATAACATTGCAAAGTGTTCTGTATAGCACCAAAAGGGGTTCTTCAATTGATAGAAGCTTGACATCATAACAATAGAAGAACCCTTTTTGGTGCTATGTAGAACTCCTTTCAAAAAGGTTCTACATAGAACCATCTACAGCACATTCTCCATCAATCTGAAGAACGCTTTAATCATACAAAGAACCTTTTAATCATGCAAAGGGCTCTTTGATTGTTCATGGTTCTATTTAGAACGATTTTCTTTACCAAACAACCTTTAAAGAACCATCATTATTAAGTGTGTACCATACAGCCTGAAGCTCCCATATAGCTCAGTTGGTATCTTTTCATTTTTTGGAGAGATGCAGATGCAGCTTTCTATTATACATCAAGTCACTTTATCATAAACAACACAGTTACAAGTTTATATAAAAGGAAATCTCACAATACTATCATTATTAGCAATTACAGCTATTCGCACTATGCAAATAGAAGAGATGAGAGTGACACTCTAATTCAAGGTATGATTTTACCTTTACATTTCTTTAAATGATAGTTAAATAGTCTTCATAAATCTACACTGATGAAGAGCTATTAACCAAATTGTGTCACTGGAGCTTCTTTATCTGGCTTAACAGTAAAAGCTGCTCTGTCTGTTGTGCCAAATAGAAAGAAGGATCATGCAGACTCCAACATTTGCAAGATTTATGGCCAACACTTATGGCACACTCTCGAATCAAAAGTGCCACATGTTTAATCATATGTCATATGCTCATACTACAGTCACTTTGTCTGTCTTTTGTCCAGTCTCCAGTCTTTGATCTCACCAGAGAGTACTTCACACATTTAAAATGGAGTTAAAAAAAAACAAGTAATGTCTGACAAATGACGCTATTATAATGCCATATGATTGTGTATTACTTTGTTTTGCACTGGTGGAAGACCTCCTTCATTATTTTTTTGGAACTTCTCCTATTTTGTTTATGTCATCACATCTGTTTTGCTATGAATGTTGGGTCATTCCACAAGCAATATCTGCTGAGGGCAACATCCCAAGCAGACTTTCTGTAAATTTGCAGAAAGACCTCATTATCCTGTTACCTCACTCCCTATGTACATGTGAGAGCTCATTCTAAACCTCCGACAGCACAACGATTCATGTATACTATTTCCATTTCTGCTAATAGATCCCCCTAAATATTATACACTGCACCATTAAGTCAACAAGCCTGCAAGTCCAGAGAACGCTTGAGATTTAGATTCGTTGGTGAATTGTGAGAAGAAGAAAATGCAACCAACTTCTAAGACAGAACTTTGGAGGTGAGGAAAAATATCCCTGCAGATTTCTTAGAAAAACTGAAAGAAGGTATTCCAAAAAGAATGAAAGCTGTAATATACAGTGCCCTCCACAAATATCACTGGTAAATGAATAACTAGTACTTAATGGCCATTTTGACTGGAAATTAAATAAATGAAGGGTGGTCTCTGTCTTTTGCACATTACTGGAGTCCATCTCTGTAGTGCAAGCTTGAAACACTACTCTAAAGTCATTAGGTTGAACGGTATTTTTGCCAACTTGTCCAGCATTGCAAAGTCTGCTACAAAAGAACACATTTGTGGTCAGAGCATAGATAGGTCAACTGGACTGGGGGCATCCCCATCCAAAACTCAGTGAGGATAAAATTAGCCTGTGCCTTTGCCTTGGATTCCCCGCAGGCTTGGCCCCCCATGTCTTCCCCCTCTCTGCTTACAAAGGATTTGGCAGCAAAGGACACTTCATATAGGGGTGAAGCTTAGACATGATCACATCATTGCTCAGTAGAGACTAATACTCTCCACTTAAAGTAGGAAGACAAACACACAATATCAGATAAGAACCCAGAAAGATTTATCACTGAATCTTTTGCAATTCCAGAGGCCTAAAAAACACATACATGTGAAGTCAAGTGCCTCCCCTGTGTCAATAATATTTTATGGCATGATTTCTGGCATTTCTCCTGCTGTTTGCCTGCTTAGTTTTATGTTGTCTGTAGGCCCAACTGTAACCTTTATAACTACTGCTAAATTTGGCTGCCTGGTGCAAATTATGTTCCAGTGCAGTGCTTGAACTGATGGTCCTGTTCTAAGTATAGGGCCTGTCTCTGAGCCAAAATCAGGTGTGGTGTTAAATGACTGACTGATTTTTTTTTTTCAGAAAAACTAAAATGCCATTTGCATGAGACATATTGACAGTCTTGGGTCTGCACTACATAAAGTCCCTCACTGGGTCAAATAATTCATAAAGCATTTTTTCATATACAGCACTGCAAAAGTCAGAGTCAGCTTCCTCGACCATTGTGTTGCCAGATTAGAATAACCTTGGACTCTTCTAGAAAATAAAAAAATAAATATTATTCTATTATTATTCTTTCTGTGATTCTATATGATTGTTACTCATGTGAGTATATTCATGACTTGCTAATATGTTCGATGGTGTTAAAGGGGAAGCATTAAAGGTGCAGTGTGTAAGATTTAGTGGCATCTAGTGGTGAGGTTGCAGATTGCAACAAACTGAATACCCCTCCCTCACCCCTCCCTTTCCAAGCCTGTAGTAGAACCTATGGTAGCTGTCATGTTTTCACTTCTTTGATAATGAGGACTCACCCTCCTTTACTTTTCTTTGTGCTAAATAATGAGTTTGATCCTCCATTTGTCAAAATTTGGGTTCTCAAACTTCTCACAACACAAAATGGTCAGCCAGCACTGGCAGCAACCACAAATTCAAGCTGCCGCTTCAGTGTAAAAATGCACAGCCTCCCATGCAAAGTTTTTCAAGTTTAAAAAAAAAGATATATTTATTTTTAATCTATGTGAAAGTAACTGCAAATGTTTATTTTAATGATTTTTTAAAATTTCAATTAAGTATCTTTAGTTTATTTACTTTAAGATTTAATGACATTTGTGTTATTGTGCTATATTAACAAAAATATGGAGCCAAATCTGTCTGAAAGATTCAAAAGTTAATGATAATAGTTTATAGTTCCGCTCACTTGAGTACGAACTAGATGGGACTGACCCAAAAACGGGTGTGGAAAAAAACAACGCCTCTAAAGCTTTCAGAATAAAATCAACATTATATTAAGGATAATATATTTTGCTTTAGTACAAGGACTGCAATAAGGACACCTGCTATTTAACTAATCTGTTCATTTTTCTAGGTAAATATTTTATCCACAAAATGAAATTTACAAAAAGAAAATTACAACTTATTTAAAGATGACTTTTACAACTATGTGTCCTCAATTTAATATATGTATTGTAAAATACATATATTAAATTGAGCTAAGTTGACGAAAATATTGACAAAATTTAAAAATCCTTTTAAGATATATTTCGTTCTAAGACGAGATTTGATGCCTGTCATATATATAAAAAATATTTATATATTTTAAACATATTTTAATTTTTTTTCTAATTGTTCTAATTGTACCTGAATTCCTTTTTGTGAAATACTGTATCAAATAAATAAATAAATAATCTCTTCCACAACACCAACAGGGAGGAGCCCGGTTTCCATGGAGACGCGTCGGCGTCTCCTCAAACCTTTCGACCCTTAGAGATTTTCAGCCTCAGTCAGGTTTCGACAGAGCGGCTCTTCAGGCAGACGTTACTGCGCTGCAGAGACCTGCAAACCTCCCAACTTCAAATCAGAAAACAATGTTCAACAGCTCGGAAGTCTTCTACTGACCCTTCTGTGGGGTAATTTAGCCAGAGAGTCCCTCCTGTACCGTCAGAGAGAGGCTCGGGCAGACTAACGCTCACTGTGCTTCTCTCACACTGCCTCTGTTTATCAGCGTGACGCTGCTTCCGCCGTTTAAGCAGCTAATTCGGTGAGCTTTTGGTTCAGCCTGTTCAACTACTGCGAAAATAATGAGGTGATATATTGAGACCGTGAACTTAAACTAACTGTAGGCTACAGCATGGCGACGTCGGGGGGCCGCAGTAAAGTGTCTGAGTGTGAGGAGGGCCCCTCCGCTCGGAAAGGTCAGCACATTCCCAAAGAAGGTAAAAAGAAGAGGAGAAATAAAGCCAAAGAGAAAAACAAATCGACCTCTGAGGTAAAGAAAAGAGGACATCCCAGCACGCCTTCAAACTCAGACGACTCAGGTTAGTGGCTGCCTTTACTGTCTGATTATCCTGATTTTAATTCTTCAACATTTGATCAGCAGACAAACAGAAAACAGAAGCCGAATGAGCACAACTCAGAAATACCAAACAGGACATAATGAGCCAAGAGTGACCTTTGGCTTTTGGCTGGTATATTATTTTTATTATACACAATATGTCACATTATTTTTGGCTGACATTTAATAAGTTAGAACAGACAAACTAGTGGCCCGTTTTAAAAATACTATCAAAAACTATGAATTTAATTATTTGTATTCAACATTTTGCTGCGCTATATCCAGTTAAACAGGACCAAACAGGATAATTATGCTCTCTTTTTAATTAAACATGTAGTTGATGTTTTTACAACAATATGCTCAGAAAGGCGCATTGTGACATGTGATGTAATTTATTGCACGAATGTTAAACATCGTCATATTGCCAGCTCTATTATTATTATTAGTATTATATTTTGTTGTTGTTTTGATATCTAAACCCACCATATTTCATTTCAGCTTCCCAGGAAGCCCCCCCTTTCATGGTTTCACCCTAATAGGTGCTTAAAGACCCCTGTCAGGTTTATTTAGCATTTGTTCTGGCTCCAGGTGAAAGGATGCAAAAGTTACCATGCCTCTTGAATTACAGTCGTATGCAAAAAATTGGGCGCCCCTGGTCAAATGTTTTGTTGATTTTTTGAGTGAAAATGTTACATATTCTCTACAGAGAACACTGTACTGCACATTGTAATGCACACTTAGCTTACTGTTTATTTGCTTAATGTAACATATAGTGAAACATGTATACATATAATATAATAAAACATAAAGTGTGTCCTGTACAAAAGTTAAAGCACATTTTATATTTAATGTTTAAAGCTTTTCCTACATGTTGCGTTCTTATTTTCACTTAGAAAACCAGCACGTGATCTCACCAAGGGTGTTCTAATATATGCATATGACTTCACCTCTTCAGCTTTGAAGTACTTGAGTATGCAGGTGCAAGACATTTCTTAGGGAACCACCAGCCTGTTGCATTTTTAGAAGTCCTTTAACCTTTTAGAGAGAACCTAGAAAATGCTAAAGGCTCAGTAGACGAATGCTATAACATTTCACACCTCAAGGCCTGGTGAAACCTCAGTGTATGGGTGTTCCTTAAGATGATAACCTTTTCTCAGGGGACTTCTTTAAATTCTCTTTGGTTGGAAGAGGAAGATCCATGACACTTAATTGCCATCACTTTACCCATTCTGTCTAATTTGTAGTGGGGGCTTAAGCTGTAATCTATCTGCCCTGGCTCATTGTTTTGTCCTGCTCCAGAGAGGCCCCACACAGAAGAGAGGACAAATGTAGAGAAGATCGGTGACCCGAATGAAGCCAAAGGCCATGCCAAAGAGAGGGGCAGCAGGAAGAGCCGGAAATGCAAAACTACACCGCCTGCTGTGGAGGAAGTTCCAGTTCCACCTCAAGAGGACAAAACAGAACTGAGCAGCCAGGCACAGGAGAGCCTGAGGTGGGAAGGGGTTCTAGAGGATCCTGCTGCTGAAGCAGAGCGGTTGGAGGTCTACAGAGCTAACCGTCGCAAACGCTACATGGCCTCCAGGCAGACAGTTTTAGAAAATATCCGGGTGGAGTTAGGTCCAGACCCAGGTGTTTCTAAACTGGGCAACAGAGTGCAAAAGGCTGGTGCTGCAGCAAAGATTTTGTAGAATCCACTGCTTGTGTATTTTGGCTGTGATTTTTTTATTTTCTTCCCAGTTTAGTGGTTGTTATTACCTAATAGTAAACCTCTGTTCTATATCAGCAATGTACTGTACTCAGCCATCATGATTAAGCAGTGCTTAAATGGCAGTTTGCATGATGACAATACATATTTTAACTTCTACAAGATGTTTCTTACAGTAAGATATAGAACCTAACGGTCCCACCCATTTATATGCATTTTGTATATTTTTAATGTAGACTTTTTAAAGATCATTTTTTGCAATAAAGCATTTTGGAATATTTGAAAAGCTGTAAATGGTTTGTTACTGATTACTGATTTGTTGTCCATTCTTGGCCTCTGTATACTGGATTACTACACCCTCTTGTTTGCATGTGTTGGGTCAGATATTGTCATCTTGTTGCATAATTAAATATCATGCAAACACAATGTAAGGGCTACTTTAACACTGTGGCACTCCTGTTACATTGATCACTTTAAATTGCTATTTGATGCATGAAGCAGCGAGGCTCTGCTCCACAGCTTGACTAATTGGGCTCCTTTGTGTGGTGACAGGAGCAGCAGTGCAGTGGGCATGCCCATCCTTGATTTTCAATCAGGGGCAGTTTGCCATTTAATTCTACTAACACACCTGGAGCAATTCCTCCCCAGCAGTCTACAAACAACACCTCACAAAGCGGCAAGACTGTCTGAAAACAATATATCTTTCTCAGATGTGTTTCCATTGTTTTGCTATTGCCTGGTGTTTTGATGGCCAGTAACATAGCAACTAAACGTCTGGTAGAGAATATGAGTGATCTGTTTGTCTTTTCTTAGTAAATATTTTTGTTGTTTGAGGCACACAGCTCAAGACTACAAAGTCTATTGGTAGATCTAGACACCAAGTAAGTTCGGCCCGACTATAGTGATGACTGGCATCACCCAAAATACATAATCTGATGATGTTAAAATATCTTATCCATGTCATTCCTGCTGAAATATGTCAAAAGTCACACAAGTCATGAATTAATATAACACACTGGCATGCGTGTATTTCAACAGTCACTACTACCTGCTGAGCCATATGCTGTTGATTTTCCATTTAAACAAATAATTAACCCACAGACCTTTGATGCTTTTGTGTTGATGCATCAGACTTCATTAGCAGTACTGCAAATGAACCTTTCGCAGTATTGGAAGAATACAGTACTTTAAAATAGTTTTAGTTAATTTTTTATACAAACTGCACTATGTAAAAGTCAGAGACCATTTAATGTCCAGTCACAACTAATATCAAGTACAGGTTATGCACTTTTCAGCGTCAAGAAAAAGCAAGAAACATACATTGACTAGAAAATTACACAGAAGCATCAACAACTAAATATAATAGGAGACTTGCTTTCAGTTTTTCTAAGAAATCTGCAGGGATATTTTTAACACCTCACAATGTTCAGTCTTAGAAGTTGATTGCATTTTCAGCAGTTTCTTTGTTTTATTTGCAGATTGTCTTCTTTTTTTTGTGCCTAATTTAGACTCATAGTGTTGATTATCTTCTCACAGTGGAAGGATGGACAGAAACATGTATTTTTTCAGATCTGAAGCAAGAGTGGAACTTGAGTTTCTCCTATCGCTCAAAGTGACAGGTTTGGTGGTCTACCAGGTCTTGCATCGTCGTTAGTTGTCCCATTTTTCTTTCTATCTTTACATTTTTTTTCACTTATTTTCCTTTGACTTTTGCTATCTTTTCTTCCTTTTTTATACCTAATCTCCTCAAAACATCTGAAAAAATGAATAACTTGTACTTAAGTCACTGTTTTGACTGGGAATAAATACATGAAGAGTGCAGAGTCTCTGATTTTGCACAGTACTGTAGATTAAAAACTCTGTTTGTTAGGAATCTCAATTTCTCACAGACACTTAAGGCACAGTCTTAAGGCGTTGCTTTTATGCAACCATGTTGTACAACAGAATACTTTATTTTCAAAGTCGGTACAAAACCATAAATGAATAGTGGAATAGTGGCTGGAACTGCCATTACACTGTGGGAGATGATCTTTCCCACTTGATTAGCAGCAGGTTGTGACATCCTGTTGAGAACAGATCTTAAGTGATTACTTTAATGCAGTAAATACATCCAGCATTCTAGCAATGAACAGGAGCGATGCTACATCCATAGTAACAGAAAAATTGTGAAATGAAACATAGTCACCACTGCATTGTATTAGATGGTGATTATATGCCATACAAAGTGTAACATGTTGACCATACAGTGTACTTTTACAACGTTTTGCAGTAAGCTGTTTTCATGGAAAGGAAAAATGGACCTTGTAACTGGACGCCACTGCTGCAAGTCAATGAGGCATCTATACACTCACCAGTACAGTAATACACTGGTGCAAAAACTGGAAAACATAATGCGTAAACATGAGAGGTATTTTGCCTGAGGACTTCACACTGGACGTTTGCTTTGAATACTTGGTACACTTGGTATTCTGACCAGAGCATTTGTGTTAAAAGCATTTAGAATATATGGTTCATCTTAGTTTTGCACTGCTACTTTTTATAAATAAGTAACAATATATATTAGAAATTCCACACAGTGATAATCATTAAATAATCGAATGTCTGTCAGCTAAAGGATATCTGATTCAAAAAGAGGAGGTTTAAAATAAAACTTAGATTTTTGAATTTAACCCTCTTAAAGGACTATTCTAGAGTTTTTCAACATAATATCTATCAGCTGCATCACATAGTGGATTACCACAGACAATACTTTTGAGAACATCATTACAATAGAAGCCAATGTGAAACTGCAAATTCCACCAATAAAAGTTTAAGTGAAACATATTTTTGTAGAATACTTTCATGAGTTCACAAAAAATGAATGTGTTCTACAAAAAAACATAATCTCTTTAACTGATCCTTTCAGAAATGGGACTAGTTTTCCAGAGAGAGGATTTTGTAGTAATAGGTAACCAGTAGTGGTGTGGGTGGAGTTTGACATGTTCTTCCCTGATCGCCACGAATACCAGAAAACCGTAGTGAAAGAGAAAGTAACTGGACCTGCTTTATTTACCAAGTTGCTCCAGTGCTCAAAAGTTGGATGAAGCTTCACAAAAACAGCTTTGATACTCGTGTTACATATATTTAAGAAATGTATTCATGGAATTCAGTAACTGCGCAATGGCTTCTATAACAAGTGAGTTTCAAGTCAATGGGCCTTCTGTCCTTTTCTAAGTATAGGGAAATGTGTCAAACTGACCCTGCTAACTGAAAATACAATACAGATGAAGCTAATAGAGATTGTTTTGAAAAAGGCTGGAGTATTCCTTCAACCACTGGAAAGCGTATTTTTGCTATTTGTATTATCTGACCAATGTTTATGTCCCTTAAGACCAATCTTTGGTTTCTGCTTAGAAATGTTTCAAACTGTACAAACACACAAGACCCATATCACTCTATAAATTGTATCATCAATCACTAATATAATAGTAATGCCACTAAACATTTTAAAGGAATCCTTAGTCTTGGACTGCCTACAGCTATAAGGTTAAAATTCCCTGCCCTAAATACTGACTCCTGACTGCTCCACATGGCCTGTATACTGTTTATACCAGTTCCTACTTGAAAACATTAGAAAAAATGCATAAGGACAGTGAGAGGTTTGAAGGTAAGGTGAGCTTGTGAGCGAGAGAGGTAAAGCGAGGAAATGGGAGAGAGCAGCACAGCATTTCTTTTGTGAAACAAGCCCTCTTTTTTAAACGAGTCCCTTTTGTGTCATGTTTGTCCAGTCCTATTATCACCCCCCTTTTGTGACCGCCAATGCAGTCAGCATCTCTTTCCACCCATTGCACACTGTTCACCTAATCCCCCTCTACGCTCTAGTGGGGCACTCCAAACACAGGCCTGGTCAGAGGTCCTCTGTGTTTTTCCACCGAACACACTCCTGTTTGGAGCCCGATGACTGGTTATCTAGTTACGCCAGATCCATCATTTGTCCAGTCTACTTAACTGACACTGTACTTAATATTTGATCAACCACTACTACCAGTGCTCCACTTTGTATCCCTGGCATTGTATTTCTGCTGAAAGTAAATGCAAACTTGACCATATGAACTAAGTGGAAACTCCTTTTAATCTTGTTTTTGTCTTAAGGACTTACATATTTTACAATGATTAGATGAAACTCCTTAGAAAGAAACCATATTATTATGATGCTGCTCAAGGACTGTTACTATAGTGCACTGAAATTGAATATCCATATCATTGCTGTCATAAGAAAATCTTGACCATGAAACACTAACTTTACACAAGAGGAAAAAAGTTTTTTGTTTTTTTTAAAACCTGGACCAATATCCGTTGGCCACACCATTACCCCATGTTTTGGGGACAATAATTCATTTCTGATATTTTATTCTTATTGTCATTCAATTCAAAGTTCATAATGTGGATCTCATAAGAAACTAGTGGTGACACTGTATACCCTACCCACCCGAGAGCACTAAGGAAAAAAAAAGGAAAAATAGCTCTTAACTTATGTTAATGTAACTTAAAAACTTGGAATTACAAGTTCACTTATGACAGCAATGATATGCTCACCCCCTGATTATTCGCATGAACTGTTCCTAAAATAATTCTAAATTTGACAACCTTCAGGAACCATCGGCGTGCCTCCAATTTCAAACTCTTAAAAGGTTTGTGGCTTCAGATGTCATATCTGACAGGCATGCTGTGCCAATTCTTTCATGACAAAGTTAGACCTTTCTCCTCATTCAGATTCATGGATCTGACTTTAGAGATTTCTCCTCTGACTGTGAGTGTAAGAGTACCAAGCTCACAATGATCCATATACGAAGCTCCCTGATGAGACACTACATTCTGCCTACTCAACTGTCAATGCACAGTGACTTCAAGAAGACTTCTTCCCTCAGTGTAGCTGTCCTCCGAGTATTGGTTTCCACTTAAGGAACGAAGGCACAAATGAATGATGGATTGAAGAAACTGAAGAAGGAGCAGGAGAAGAACACTGAAGAAGTTCATGTTGCTGTCAGTGTTTACCGGTGGGCAGCTTCAACCAGCTCAAGTCATCTGACCTTAACAGCGAAGAGAAGAGCACAATGTGATTCAGACTGGCAGAGGATTTTGCTTCTAATCACCTAAACTAGGGTATGATGTGCTTGTCCATGTACTGTCTATGTTCTCTCTGGCCCCAGCAAACTGTAAATGCCTGTAATCTAACACTGCCCGGTGTGGTGTTTCAAACATCTATTATTGGGCACAAACTCTTTGTCTTGTAATATGTTGGCCATGTAGGTGTCCTTGGGTCACTCACTCTGCTTCCGCCTTTGTAATCACTTTCCCCGCTGCGAACCTTTCGGCCACGGCCGAAACAGCAGGTTCAACGTTCAAGCCTGCTGTAGCCACAACCTCATCATCTCTGAAATGAGGGGAAAAAATATTATTATCAAATATATATTATTGCCATTTATAGTACGAAGTCATGTAGAGAACTGATATTTTGCGCTCCTTACTTGATGTAAAATGCTAAGAACTTCATGTCCTCAAAGCGACCTTTCAGTACTAAATCAGTGTATCCCTCGCCATACCCTGCACATTATGGACACAGAACATAGAATCAAATTCTTAGAAATGCATGAAATAACTACAGCTTTTCAAAACCCTTATGAGGTTTTCAACAAACAAAGGCAGGTTTTGCATTCATAGATGGCTTCTGGATACTGAAGGATAATGCTGTTAACAAGAAATAAGTAGTCCTCAATTAAAATGACACAATTCTATGTCAAAAGCATTTCTTATCTTTCTTCTAGGGATCAGAATCGGCAGATTTTTGCCTGAACCATGAAATTGGCAATCAGCCAATTGTTTTTATTTTGGCAGATCTGTGTTGCTATTATGTAAATTACATGAGTCAGAGAAATTCACTCATACTGTATTTGAATGCTGCTGCTACACCTATAGCAAAATATTGTAGCATGACTATGCGTGTTATTTAAATAGCCAATTATTTTTGCTCTTTAAATCATGTTATTCAAATAGGCAAGTGATTTAAAATTGAAAGACTTAGAGTGGGAGCTTGGCCCATTAAAAAGCAAATAATGTTGTTAATAATACATTTGTCTATTAGAAAGTACAGGAAATGAGCTAGTGTGTTTCATGTGCTCATTCAAACCAAACAGTGTGAGCTTCAGATGAAAAAAAGGCTATTAAAAATCGTCCATTGGCCAATCTAGCTGTAAAGAAATCAAAATCAGAATCAGCCATAAATGTCATGAATCATGATTGTGCATCCCCACTTTCTTCAGTAAATATTTTAGCAATGGCAAAATGCAGTTATAGAATATAATAGAGAATGTGTGAATGCCTCATTGAGCAGCCTCATCTCTGAGTGAGATCTGTTAATTTTCAATAACGATGTTGGTGGTAGATGTAATTGTTATTTACATCATGCTGTTTGTGCGCTTAGCTGTTATGCAAAAAGCATTAACTCAAAATCTGTCTTTCTTTAGTGCTCACACTTAGGGAAAGAGAAACTGAGTCTTTATCTAAAGAACTAGACATACCTGCATATCGAATGGTCTGCCCCAGCAGGACGGTCCAGTAGAATGGCACAGTGTTCAGAGCGACTTGTCTGCCCAGCATGTTCAAAGCAGCAATCCGTCCTAATAAATCACACACAATTCAGCAGTGAAACCATCAGATTTTTATTGTAACGCCAGAGTGACTTCTATCATTATAATACATGTCTATGTAATATTAAAAAGCATGATTGGTGTTTTCTCACTCAATCCTTCAATTAACAGGCTCAGCACTACTAATGATATGGTACTAGACTTTTGTTCACATTTTCTGACAGTACTCAGTAGAAATGAGAACAGCACGCTTGTAGTTACCTTGTGCCTGTGCTGTTTGCCAGTGGGCAACACTGACGCTCTGGTCTTTGATCATTTGGAGAGGAAAGGAGGTTAGATCTCCTGCACAGTAGACATCTCTTACATTCGTCCTCATGTACTGTAAAAAAAAATAATAATAAAAAAATAATAAATAAAGTGCTGCATGTGACTGCATGACAATACACTCAATACTCTATTGTATACACCATGTATATGTAAACAAAGCTTTTTTTCTGCATCGAGACAAATGTACTATATAGTTTAATGTATGACTATAAAATGAAACATGTCATAACACTCACCTTATCCACAGTGACATAGTTCTTAGAGTCCATCTTGATCCCACTTCCTTTAAGAAACTCTGAGTTAGGTACGATCCCTTGTTAGACAAAGAAAAGAAATATATTTTTCAACACCACTGAATGTAGCAGCGACGCATTTCAGAAAAAATACACATATTTAGCCAAATGAATTTGGCTTTACTGTCACTTTGTGCAATATATTCTTAAGTTTCACGTACCAATCCCTACAAGTAACACATCAGCTTCCACAGTGGTGCCACTCTTCAGCACTACCTCTTTAACCTAAAGAAATAAAGACAAATATCACACTTTTAGTTTTACATTACTAACTAGATGGAAACATATTAGATGGAAACTTGTTAGTTTATTCGTTTAGCTCATACTCATACAAAAATGGGAATTGTTTTTTCTTCTCTTAAGATTTTTCTCAGAAACCTTGAGCTTTTTTTACCCTTCCGTTCTTGCCCCGGACTTCAGTGACACTGTCATTCATGTAAAACTTCACGCCCCTCTCTTCCAACACCTGTATGAATTTATACACCAAAGTAAACAGAAATCAGCTTCTACAAATCTGTATTCTGCTCTCCTTTGCTTCACTTTCGAAGTAAATAACAGATTTTTATCAAAACACATTATTGGAAAATACTGGCTCCTCTCACTCACCGTCATGGTGAACTTCCCTATCTCTCGCCCCAGTGTCTTCAGATAGGGCAGCTCACTGAAGCCAATGATAGTGATGCTGCTAGCCTTATCGATCATATAGGATGCCACCTCCATGCCTGCAAAATCAGAGAACGCAGTCAAGATTGTATCAAAAACTAGGATTAGACAGTTTACAAATATATGTCCCCAAATCTATACACTTGCATAAACTTTACAAAGACATCATTAACCTTTTAACATTCACAGGCCCTTTAACATGCACAGACCAATAGTTACTGAATAATAAGCCTTACAATGTGGACCTACATAGGAGCCTAATGAGTTAATTCCAAATAATGGTTGAAATACAAATCTTTAGCTTTGTACCATATCAAAATTAGGTTCTCAGATTCATGTTATAAGCCAGCTCTCTTTGACATAGCTTGTTGGCAATAACAAGACTTTATAGCAGTGTTTCCCAACGCTGGTCTCGCTTGGCACACTTGATCCAAATAATCATTTAATTAACAAGTACATTGTCACTTTAAGTGGCTGTGTTAGAGAAGGAAAACTGAAAAATGCATTGCTTAAAAGCATGAAGTTGTTGTTCTTACCAACGAAGGAGGTGCCCACAATGACTGTCCTGCAGCCCATGCAGGCATTATGAATGCGGTTGGCATCCTCTGGTGTCTCCAGCATCAGCACGTTCTTCAGCTCTGCCCCGGGGCTGTCCAGCTCCTTAGCCCTGAGAAACAAGTACTGTTTACTGAGAAACAAGTACCTTTTCTTTAACCAGAGCTCATACTGTGTGGGCTAAATGAACACTTAAAACACACTAGCACAGTTCCTTTACTTTTTTATCGCCACTGTCATGATATATATAATCTTATTTGCTCTTTAAGGGACTAAACTGGCATTTTAAATTTGTAAATGAAAAATCAGTCGCATCTTTAAATGACATGAACCAAATAAAATGTTACACTGAAAGTAAGAGGCATCTGGTTATTTAGCAGAATGAGTCATGTACAATAATGCTACAACATTTTGCTATAGGTATAGCAACTATGAAATCCCCTGCCTCACATTATTTATGTCATAAATCTGTAACAGATGAGCTGGAATAAAAATGAGAAGCTGGCTAATTGCCGAACTGCATGTTTACAGAAAAAAATCTGATTCTGATCATTGACATAACTGATTTTTGTTTGTAGGTTTGTGTACCATTTAAAATGTCAGCAAATGTTAGTTGTCAGCTAACGTGTGAATATTTGATAACAAACTTGCCAGTAGAAATGCCCCAAAACTGTATGAAAAAAATTCTTGCTACATTAATATACATTAAAGTTTTTCTTGCTCTCCTATTACCCTTTTATAGATACAAGATTTTGTTGCAACAGTGATATTACATAATGCGAAAACAGGGATTAATACTGGAACACACCAGGTACTCACCTGCAACCTGTTGCAACAAGGAGCTGGTCATAGAACTCTGTGGTGCCATCATTAAACGCCACTGATTTCTTGTCGGTGTCTATTGACAAAGCCTGGTATGAGGAGAAGAAAGGGTTTGGTGCATGCAGCCCAACATGAAAGAAACGAGGGAGCAGTATATTTATCTCACCTCTTTTTTCAGCCACACTTCAATGTCATACTTTTGGTAGAATTCCATTCTCCTGAGCAAGATGCTGTCACTCTTAACGTTCATCACCTGGAACCAAACCCAGCAAAGGCACAGGTTTAAAGAATAAAAAAATCAGTTGCCTTAAAAATATTGGGCCTCATTCACCAACAGTTTTTAAGAATAATTTTTTTTTTAATCCACTTACACAGTTTTCACAAAGATTCTGACATTCACCAGTGTTTTCTTATCTGGGATTTGTTCTTGAGTAAGAACAGAATCTACACACACTCAAGAGCACAAGGGTGTGAACAGTTCTGTGGTTTAAGAACATGTCATGAATCTGACGTAGACTTTTCCTTAGGACTTTTCTCAAGAACACATTTAAGAAAAGACTTAGGAAGATATTGGGGAATGAGGCCCAATATATATATTAATATATATTTACATTTGTTATATTTACATTTACATTTAAATAATAAAGGTTCATCAAGCATTCAGTGAGAACCACTAATTGGCATTTGTCACGGTGGCTCCTTTTGTTTCTACAGAGGCTTTTCAAAGACCGGCTGCTCTGGCTCTTTGGGTTTTAGATTCTTACTTTACACATGTTGGTGTGTTTCGTTAGAAACACCACATGTGCATGGAGCATAAAGAATGAGTACGGTGGCTCAAACATTCAGGCTGAGTTTGTGAAAGAGACTTTGAATGAAAAATGTCAGGAAATTTTTCTGATCTCATGTATACAATTTTAGATTTTTATACATTTTGAAATAGTAAGTTGTTACTACAGCTAATTCTGCGGTGTGGATTAGCTGAAAAGTGTTCTTTTTGTGTAATGTCTGATAACTGTACATTTTTTCATTCAGAAGACCCTCTACTAGTAACAACGATGGCCAGTTTGACTCATTTACTTTGAACAATTAAAAGAGGAGCGTATGTGATGTTGCATTGAAGCAGTTATTTTAAGAAGAAAAAGCTTTTTTTCCATACATATCTGGTAATCAGCATAAACAGCACATCACAGCCATACCTTACTAAGCCTGGTTTTGTCATATGGAAGGAGGTCATCTCTGGTCACCATAATGATTCTTCCCCTGTAGTTCTCCTGCCTGAGGATCTCTGCACATATTACTGAGGCACAACCTGCAGAAAGAAAGATGATAGTGAAAAAACTCACAGCATGATTATCACATCATAAGAATATCCAAGTATTTGTATTGGACAAGGGGACATAGAAATAATCACATTAGGAGCAGAAGATTACCTCATTAATTGTTATAATGTATTGCTTTTTATTTTTAAGTACAATTTAGATGTTTACTGTTTAATTTATAAGTAATTGTTCTCTTTTCTCTCTGCATTTCACTCTATTTTATCAACTGTGTATTTTGTATTTTTTTTACCTTTATTATATTTTATGTTCAGCTTTTTCCTGTTTTGTACATTTTGTTTGTTTTTAATCTGTCTGTAAAGGACACTGTAAACACTTTAAACACTGTAAGTGTGTAACCTATACAGCACTTGTAAAAGGTGCTATGAATAAAAAGTGCTATAAATAAAATGTATTATTATTATTGTAGCTGTAGTACGTTTTTAAAAGGTAGGATGCAGCACTTACTTATTGCGCTTGTTCTCACCTCCTCCTAGTAGAATCACAGTATGTTTCACTTCAGGATCTCTGGCTCCCATCTTCTTCACTCTCTTGGCCTGCCCTAGAGCCTGCACACAATTCATTTACAATCTACAGTGTATCAATCTGGCATATTACAAAAAGCAAATATCATTTTAAGATGACATACTACAACATTAAACACTGGAATTGATACATGTATTAAATCCAGTCGCCCCTCAGACTGGGTAAATTGCATACATGTTCACATAAATAGTGTTATTTCTTGTCAGGCTGAAGAGCTCTGCTCACCTTTTTGTTTACGGTCACATACACTCTTCTGTCCAGAATTTTTACCTGTCAACAGAAAAAAAGCCAAAACAGCTTGGCATCAGTATGAATATGACTCTGTGGATCATGAAAATGTGGACATTCTCTGACAGTTTAATGATCCAGTTGATCCAAAAGAGCCTGTTACCTATTGTCATATCCACATTCTAAAGCCCACAGCATATCTGGAACAAACACACATACACACACAAAAATGGCTTCCAGGTTGAAGGTCTTCAACATAATGCCCGAAGGAGAGCCGTTGTTTTTCAAAAACTTCAACAAGAAACTATTAAGTCATAATTTTACTTGCCATCAATACAATATCGTCATCAACTTCAGCGCTTTAAACAAAGGCAAAAGGATATGCAGAGGCTTTAGATGGACATGAGGACTAATATATAAACTACACACTTAAAAGTGATGTTTTTTCAAGGGTCATTTAGTAAAGAAAATGGTTCTATATAGCACCATGAACACTCAAAAACCCTTTGCATGATTAAAGGTTTTTTTAATCGTGAAATGGTTCTTCAGATTGATGAAGAATGTGCTGTAGATGGTTGTATTTAGTACCTTTTTAGGGTTCTATTTTACTACTTTTTCTACTTTAAACATGATTGTGGCTTTTGGTGATGCTGTCGCTATTTTCTTAATGCAGTTCATGTGGTTGTTGTTTCTGCATAAAGCTACTACAATGATTAAGCATCCCTCGCAAAGAACCACCACGCTTTATATTTGTCTCAATAAAACATGGTATCAAAGGTATCCAAGACATTGGATAACTTATGATATCCAATACCATCTATGAGTATAGATATAATGACTTTGCTTCATTTACACATCACCACTTGTACAGTGCTAGGTGACAACATCATTCTATATTTTCTTTAGCCTCTAAAACTCTAAAGGATCTTAACTGAATAATTAGAAACCATCCAATTTTGATCCTAAAACCTACCATCAAACAGCCCTCCAGGAACGCTTCTAGCAAACTTTTTTAAATCATAAATTATCATAAACATGACACGAGTAACGCTGACAGTACCTTGTGGCAGGTCAGGCTGTCCATGGCCGGATACTCCTCCATATCTCCAGTCTTCACGTTGAAGCAGGCACCATGCCAGGGGCAGCGTACCCTGTGACCCACCAATACTCCTGTCAAAGAAACAGAACAAAGATCAGTTGGTCTGACACATGATTGTGTCAGACCAACACTCAACACAAATTATTGGTAACTAAACACTACAGTTCAGAGGGCGCTCTGTCTTTCACGTCTTACCCGTGCTCAGAGGAGCACCGTAGTGGGTGCACTGGTTACCAATGGCCGTGTATTCCCCGTCACACCTCACCAACAGGATGTTATGGTCCCCAACATCCACATCCATCATCCTGAGGGATGCAGAAGACAGACATTTTTGTAGAGCAAGACTACTGTTCTTGTACAGATAAACTACTGTTTAAAAGGTTGGAATTACTTGTCGATTCTGTGTTAAGTTATATCCAACAATAAATTACGTAAGGTTTAAATATCATAAACAACAAACCAAAGCCTCAAAAATTGATCATCACTTTTGAAGAACAAGGCATTCTGGATATTACCTTTATTATAACTTCATGGTTAAAGCTATACAGTTTCTGAGTCATTTCAGAATCATCTACAACTCTGGGCACATCTAAGAAGTTCATTTTTTACAGCTTCATAGCTACCTATTAATTATTTGAAACCTGTGAATTGTACTTAACTAGCATATTAGAATAATTTCATACATTTTTCTCTAACAAAATTTTTATTTTTTTTATAAGCATTGATTCTAAACTTTTGAAAATTGCCTGTATTGTGTTGTGACTAGCATGTTAGCTTATGGCTAGAGTGTTATATCAGACTATAAGGCACAGCTTTTGTATCAAATATTGTACTTATATAATGTTGAATGTGATCATAACTCAAAATGGAAACATTAACATATTAATGTAAATCACATTTTCTAACACAGTTTTAACAATAAATGGTATCAAACGCTGGAGTTAATGCGCAACTGCTAATTCACCCGAAGGTTGGCGCGCAGACTGCCGGTCACATAGCAACGCAAATAACATCTTCCCTAGCTAGTAGCTAACGAAAAGGCAAAGATACAGATTTAAGATGAACATCCATAATTTGGTGACAAATGGACTTATATGCATTTATAAGCTCTCCAGCTGGTTTCCTGATTTGTTCAATCTGCAACAAGAAACTGTCAAACACTAAAAGGTTGTGAAGCTGAAGTCAGCTTCTCATTCATCAGCTTCTTGTTTGAATTTTCCTGTTCCACCTTAAATAGTGCAGCAGGTACATAAAAAAGTCTCATAAAAAAAGTCGAACATTGAGAGACATTTTACAAGCAACACTTCCACTTTTGAGGAAAAGTTTCCTGCTGGAGATGCGAGAAAAGCATCTATAGCTGAGCTAAAGCTTAAAGTAGAGCAAAGTAAGCCTTATATTACAGTTTTATATTATATTTGTTAGCCTTTACTAGTACATTAGCACATGCTGAGCCATATTTACAGCCAAGATGCTAAAATGGACATAAAATGTTGTGGCTCCCAGGGTGCTTTGATTTTTGTTGAAAGGACAAAATGGCTCTTCTTAACAATTGGGTTTCTGACCCCTGTGCTAAGGTAGTGTGAGATAATGTAAAATATTAACATAAACACTACAAGAACATACAATGTCCTACAGGGTTTTTACACAAATACATCCTTCTACCTTATATGGTATGAAGTTAAATAGATGTGTCATAACACATCCATAGTTTAGTACTAGGACTGGCTGTAATTTACCAGAATGGATGAAATGGCAACATGAGGCGAAACAAACAAGCAAAGCTCTTCAGATCTGATGGCACACTGAGAGAAACACTTCCCCCTCGTACTGCATTTACTTAGTCAATGAAAAATACATTAAGCATAATAGGCCTCACTCTCCATCCTTGAGATCGGACTCCATGCACACGGCCGCAGTCGCTTCTTCCTCGTCTTCCTGTTGGTCAGCATGATGCAGTTCTTCTGGGAACACAGCACACTTCTTTCTACCACACTGATTTCACAACAAACTTTTAGTAGACTTTTAATAAAATACCTTTGCTGTGATGGCACTGAGGAACCGCTTTTAGTTCCCTAAAGAACAGATGGCTTTAAAAAAGTTTAAAGAACCAATTATGTAAAATTTCTCTACAAATTAAACAGTTTTCCTAGAACCATACGTCCAAGCCTAGAACCATTTATGAACTTTTGTTTTTAGGAGGCTCAAATGAAATTAAATTTGAATATTTTGTTCACACAAACAAATTGAAGAAAGGCAAACATGTTACTTACTCGATTTCTTCTCAGACATCAGAGGATTTGTTTAATTAGAGAGGACAACCTTTGTCCAGCTTTTTTAAAACCAACTCTTTCACAATAGTGTTCTCACAAAATCAAGCCCTCATGGCTGCTGACATGGCTAGTGCAGATGTCCTTAAGCCAGGAGACCAAAAAAGTCCCTTCGAGATTTCACTGTTGAGCTGCGTGAACTCGCACATGAAGATAGTTACCCAAAGCTCTCCAAAATAAAGAAATATATGAGTTTCTACAAGGTAAAATCCACTGATGCAGGGTACTGCTTGATTAGCCGGAGAGACTGGGTGAACTGCATATGCAGTGTTCAGTGCTGTTAGCTCTGCCATTGCAAGGGAATAGAGAACGGCTGACCAAGCAACAGCTTCCAACAATGACCATACACGCACAAACACACACACAGAGCAAAGTGTGTGACGCTGCATTATCTTGCATGAAACACGGCTGCTGTGTAAAGCTTCTCCTTTGAGGAGACGCCCTTCCAGGCCACATATAAAGAAATGGACTCAGTCCAGTATGTGAGTGGCAGAACAGAGAGCATGGTGTGCCCCAAGCTATTGACTGAAGAACTGAACAGCACAATGACTTTGTATAGACATGGTCCAAAAGGTCAAGTGACTGGATCACTCAGGGTTGGGCCAGTTAGATATCTGCTTTACAAGGATTGCACATTAAACATGGCACATTGATAATCTATGTATGTATAAACAAACACGTTTAAGCCATTGAAGAACAGCTTATATTTGATTATATTTAGTCACAGATAGATAGATAGATAGATAGATAGATAGATAGATAGATAGAAACACTAAAAGTCAAACTTTATAGTTTTAAAATTGTACATATTTGAATTTCTATTTAAAACTGTACTATCTGAAAGGAGACCATCAGGACTGTTTTATAGCATGTCATCCACGCCTCTTCACATGGGAATTAGACGAAGAGCAGCACAAACATGACCACCAGGGGGCACTGTGCTCCTGTCCAAAACACTCACCATTAACGCCACACGATTTCTGGGAAAAAGTAACCTAATGGCACTCTGAATGTGTTTCAGTAGCTGTTCCACTCCAGAGGCATAAATCGCTCACTGGCTGACCTGCCCCTCAGGTTCAAACTGAAGTTGAGAAAGAGGCACTGAGCTGAAGGCGTTCAGCCCCCCCTGCACACCAGAGTAAAATTATGCCGTGAGATTTAACCAAACCGTCCGGGTTTGTCTTTTCAGCTCGTCGCTGAACCGCTCGGAAGCTGAACAACATGGCAGAGAGAGAAGCGCCCTGACAGAGATGCTCCGCTCCGGAGCCGCCTGGCATCCGTTCATCAGCTCAGCCGGACAGTAAGCAGCACTGACCCTTCTCACACTTCTCATCCTCACAGTCACAGACCGTTTTTTAAAGCGGTTTGACTTCATTAGACTACATTATTCAGTCATGTAGACGAAAGTCGGCTTCTCTTTCGCCCCCTTCTTGTTCGAATTTTCCGTTCCACCTTAAATGGTGCAGCAGTTACATTGTGGCGCCTGAGGCGTTATTATAATAACCGCTGCACCATTTAAGGTGGAACGGGTAATTCGAACAAGAAGCTGGCGGATTGGATGCCAACTTCAGCCTCGCAGTCTGTTTAGAGGTAAATCTGAGGTCAGCTGCGAAGACATATTTGAGATTACATCACTGACAGCGAATGAATGCAGGACTATTAGTTAGACTCGTTAGCCGTTATGCTGTGTCTGAAACCTTCCAGATAAGAATGTTAAAGAATACTTAACTCCGGTTAGCTGGCTAACGTTAGCGTTTCATATCCATACTGTAATATACAAGACCTGAAAGGTGGACGGCTACTGAATGTTTCTAGAAGAATGAAAATGTATTAAGTCATACGACAGAGCAGCTATAGGGCGGCACAGGAACCTGAACATTCAGGTATGAGGTGTTTTCACCTTTGGTGAGCGTTTCGTTGAGTGTGAACGAATGTAAAAGGTTTGACGACATTAGATGGCGATGTTTACAAATGACTGCAGTTACGCAGTTCCTGTTTATGCTTCACTACGCCAGATTGTGACCTGCCTAATGCAGGATTACACTTACAGTGCATTGTATTTATAAGTTAGAAGAAGTGACACAGGTCATTTCCTTCTCTGTTGACTGTTAACTTTTTACATGTTAATACTAAACTGCTGTTCACCAGCGTACAGAAGTCTGACTGAGCTGCAATTTGCTGGGGATATTTAATCAATTAAATGTGATTATTGTGTATTAGTGCATGCTGACGCTTTGTTTTTATATCTTGCGTGTTTAGACCCTCTGCCCCTTCATCCAGGGCGACTGTGGGGTTTCCATGGATACCGCCACCCTAGCCCAACAGGTGGAGAATGTGGAGCGTAACATTGCGTTCCTACAAAAGGAGCATCAGGTCCTCCTGACCGGCCTCTGCCTGGAGATCCGTCAGCTGAAGAAACGATGTAACGGTCTGTCACTTTCTGTCACATCACTTGATCTGGCTGGGCTGGTGTATCTGTCAGGGTCAGGCTTCATACACACTGTATGGCCAGAAATATGTGGACACCATTCCAGTTAGTTGGTTTAAATATTTCAGCCTTTTGTTAACATGCATTCGCAAACACTAGCAGTAGAATGGGTCATGCTAAAGAGTACCACTATCATAGGATGCTACTTTTCCAGCAAGTCAGTTAATCCAATTTCTGCCCTGCTAGAGCTGCCTTGGTCAACTGTAAGTGCTGTTAGTGTGAACATCTAGGACAGTGGTCACCAACCCTGGTCCTGGAAAGCTACCTTTCTGCAGATCCTAATTCCAGCCACAATTTACCATACCCGCTCCAGCTAATCAGGCTCTTCCCAAGTCCTTGATTTGCAGGTTCAGATGTATTAGAGTTAAATAAAGGGCAGGGCAGCTAAATGGATACAGATTATAACTAAGCTCTGCAGGAAGGTAGCTCTCCAGGACCAGGGTTGGAGACCACCGGTCTAGGAGCATCAGCAGCTTAGCTCGAAAGTGGTAGGCCACATGCTGAAATGTGTAGCATGTAAAAGTTTTCTGTGCTCATTTGCTGAACTTACTACCATGTTACACACTGCCTCTGGAAGCAGCATCACCCCTGTCAGTGCCAAGTGATGGCTGGAGTGGTGTGAAGCACACCGCCATTAGACTGGAAACACACTGGGAACACGCTTTCTGGAGTTATGAGTGACGTTTTACCATCAGGCAGTCTAGGTTAACTATGTGGCAGCAATCTGGGGAAGGCCCTTTCTGGTTTCAGTGTGACATTGCCCCCGTGCACAAAGCATGCAAGAAATTGACTGGCTTGAATTAGAACACTGACTTCAACTAGGCCTTATCACCCAACAATCAGAATCTAACAGAAAGCCTTTTCGTGGAGAGTGGAGGCTGCTATAGCAGCAAATCATATTAATGCCCATAGTTTTGGAATGAGATGGTCAGCAAGTACATATAGATGTGATCCACACACTTTTGGTCATGTGGTGTGCTAAACGACAGTATAATGTCTTCATTATGATAAATTATGTTACCAAAAGCTTTTATAATCATGCCAGTGGTATTGTCAATTCTTTGAGTGACCAACTACATGTTTTATTAAAAAGAGGTTTAGAAGTGTCATTTTCAGCCTCCAGACTTGGAGGCCGAGGTTTAATTTTTACCTGCCCTAACATTACAGGGTAATTATCAGGCCCTCTCTGAGTTCAGTGATATCCAGGTGTACAGAAAACATTCATTTGTGCAGCATATGTGAGGTCTCCAACACTGGAGTTTGGAAACACCAATCTATGGGCCTTTAAAAGTTCTCTTTCCTTGTTTAGTATATCTGAAATGTATTGTAGTATCTTGCTTTCTGCTTAATGACATGGAGAAACTCTCTGTGCTATTTTATTCTCTAATTGCTCTCTGCCTCCTTCTGTGCAGATTTGAGTTGTGAGCTGAGCAAAAGGCCTCCTGGAAGAAGCAGTGAAGGTGATGGCCCTACAAAAGCCAGTCTTAACTACTTTACATACTGCACTAAGACATGTTTTTAATGCACATCTGTGCATAGTTGTAGATAAAGTGTATTACATGTGAGACGTTGAGAAGATGTGATTATGTCAGGATATGAGAAAAGAGATGGGGGCAAGGCTGGAAGCGAGTAAGAATGTGATTTGACAGAGAAAATGCAAAAGAGATGAAAGAGTAGCAGAGGCAGCAATGTGTCTCAAACAGAAATACTCCAGTTAGACTGTTGTCATAGGGCTCAATGATTAGCAGTCGTACATTTTAGATGTGCCTCATTATTACACACGTTATGGGGTAATACTGGATGGGCATTCTTCATTGTAAAACCTTCAGAGTAACGTTTCTGCCAGGCCATGTATAACTGCTGCAAAGACTATTTATATTAATTATCAGATCTGTAGTGGTGTGCCCCTAAGTGCCTTTGCACACACAAACACACACGTAGTTTCTGGGCGTGGGGATTTTAACTGTTTTGACAGGGATGCATGATGATATTGAAATCATATTGACAAGTAATTGCTTAAAAAAGATTGAACAACTGATAGATGTTTAGATTTGACTGATATTTCCAACCAAAATTTGTTGATTTATTTATTGTCTACCCAATAATGAATTTATGAATTTTTCTGCATTTGTAATCTTACAGAAATATGTCAAATTTCTCTGTAATGGTAATCCAAGTAGATGTAGTCCCAATTTCTATGCTTGATAAATGTTCATTTGTCAGCATCAGCAGATATATACCTGAAAATTTTTTTGTGTTGTTATGAATAAAACATGGAAGCTTTAGATTTGATTATTGTTGGTTGCTAGGAGAAGATTGTTGATGTTGCTTGATTTATATAGTTATTCAAAGGTGCTTTAAGTGTATGTGATTTAGTGTGTTTTACTACCAGCTGACCTACAGAACAATAATTTACAGCTTGCACTGTACAAATTTGTCATGTTTTTGTTGAAATATTTTGTTGAATATAGCTCCACTTAGATGTCACCAATTATTGTGAGATGCAATATCAGCTGATTGTTTACTGACAGTAGCTGTGGTCCAGGTGGGGTGCATTTCTAGACCGCTACATCGTCTAAGGCTGTTGTAATCGGAAGATAAGGAATTGAGGAAACTACTAAAATACTTTTTAGGTCTTTTGTTGCCCATAACCCTTTTGCGCATGTGTCTGACCCGATGAAAGTTCAAAGGAAATGCTGGCAGCTGAAATCAGCTACTACTCACTGTCATTAAAGTTCATACATACACAGTACACTGTTTCTTTAGTTGGTCTCCGTTTAAGAGAGTGTACATTGAATGCAGGGTATGAAATGCACCTGCTTTCAGTGAGTTTAACCGTTTTTAGATAGCAGGACAGAAATTAATTAAAAAGAAATTGTTTTGCCTGCCACATGTTACAGAAATTAGCATTCTGCTTGCCAGCTTATTATCATTCACATCAGAAGTATTTTTTCCATTAAATTTTGCGGAGGAAATAATGTTCAACTCCTATCTGATGACATGACCAAGTGGCCATGGTGTACTATTCCTTTTTTTGTTATATAATACAATTAGGAGCTTTCGTAGGAGAGTCCTACTGAGAACCCACCTTTAGCTGCAGCCTAGCTTTTGGAACACAGCTGTTCTGTATCATTCTATGTTGCATGTTCAATAAAAAACTTAAATAGAAGTTAGTTTGTTTCAAACTATTTCAGTGCCTTTATTGAACAACCAATTAAGGAAACAAATGCTAAGATGAGTTCAGATAGCAATATATCTGAATAACCACACCTAACCCTATTTTAAACACTATATTTATGCAAAACTTCCCCTGTACTATTCAGAAATAGCAGCTGAAGAGGAGTTGCTGCAGGCTCAGTTGTCAGAGATGGAGCAGCATTTGGCTGAGCAGGAGTGTTCCCAGAGGGAGCTCAGGGCCAATCTGCAGCACAAGGGGGCACAGGCGGTGGCACTGCAGGTGCGGTTGCGGGATGAGGAACGCCGCTTTTTGGAAGAACTGAAAAGGCGCAGTCACAAAATCACTGCCCTGAGCCGCGACCTCCGCAAACAGACTGACATTGCTGCCCAGCTCGCTTTCCAACTGCACTCAGCACGCTTCCGCCTCTACCACCAGACTGATGACGAGGAGGATGAAGGGGACACACAGGTAAGAGAAAGTACAAATGATGTATCCACATTGCAGACTCGATGTGGAACAAATCTGATTTTTTCAGGGCTGTGTGAACATTAAAATCAGATCTTTTCAATGCAACCGTACATCACACTTACTGTGCATATCAGTGACAAGCTGTGCACTTCCAGAGCAGATAATCTTTGCAGTGAAGCCTTGTTGTGAAGGTTTGTTCATTTTATTGCTACTGCGGTGATGGACTTAAAACACGTGAATCATGCAGTGACGTTTGATTTTGAGAAAGTGTGTATGAGGATACTTTCAGGATACATGTCTGTTCACAGTGATGACGTAAACGGGCCACTTACACATCAAAACAGAGAACTGATTGAATTTGATTTTTAAAAAATGGAATTTAGCTGTAAGGCTTGTAATGTTCAGCCAAAAATGAATGAGTGCTTGTCATGGTATGTGAGGACTTTTACTACCCTTTTTAACAAGCCCTTGTCCATTTCGCTTTGTCATTTCCCCTCAAGGGGGTCTCTCCATTACTTTATCAGCACAAGTGAAGTTAGTTAAATGAGACTTTGAAGGGGCAAGAAATCGAGTGGACACATTTCCCTTTTCAAATCCGAAAATAATGCCAGACAAAGCTGTTTATAATCCAACATTTCAAAAGCGCAACATTCGATTTGCTGGGCTTTAGGTTACAAACTACTCCATCTCTTGCGCAAGACAGCTAATATAACACCACCTTATTGAGCTAACTGGTTAGTTAGCATGCTAAATGCTACACATCTAACAAAGCAATTACTCACAAATGTTATTTACAAAGTTTGCATGGCTCTCTGAGCTAACTATATACACCGATCAGGCATAACATTATTGTGCACACATAACTCCTTGTTTCTACACTCATTGTCCATTTTATCAGCTCCACTTACTACATAGGTGCACTTTGTAGTTCTACAATTACAGACTGTAGTCCATCTGTTTCTCTGCGTACTTTGTTAGCCCCCTTTAACCCTGTTCTTCAGTGGTCAGGACCCCCATGGACACTCACAGAGCAGGTACTATTTGGGTGGTGGATCAGTCTCAGTACTGCAGTAACACCGATGTGGTGGTGTTAGTGTGTGTTGTGCTGGTACGAGTAGATCAGTTTTTAAACACCTCAGAAGAATATATATATATATATATATATACACACACACACACACACATATATATATATATATATATATATATATATATATATATATATATATATATATATACATATATATATATATATGTAGCATGTATATATATATGGTAATGCGGCACTGTACATTATATTTTTATAATCTTAGCTTACTGTCCACTTTTTGAAATAGTTCCTTTCAGTACTTCATTTAAGTCACTGTCCTTAAAAAGCACTGTTCTCCATGCACAGGAACCGGGCTGTTCTGGTAGTTCTCCCCAGGCTTCACCTGTCAGAGCAGAAGTGAGACACCGCAGCCACTCCTCAGCGCGGATAAGGAGGTCGGAGCGAGCAAGGGAGTGCGTGCCACGTGAAAGAGTGCTGGGGCCGGAGGAGCCCCGGTCTATGCCTGACCCCGCCCTCTTCTTGTACCCCTTCAGACACAGGCTCCTGCCTCTGCACACGTCACTGGGTGGACGCTGGAGGGAGGGGGGGCTATCAGAGAGGTCAGATGGTCGAAGGGGTAGATTAAGGACACGATCAATGAAAGATAATACTGGACCAGAGACTACAGAATTATAGGGCAACATTAAGATAAATGATCTTGCTATTAAAAGACGTGTGAGTTACACTATATTTCAGTTGTACAGTATCAGTATCAGTCAGTTCTAAAATGTCGGTCTTCAACGACCATATCTATGGCAACCTGATTAACCCAGAATAACTAATCAAATTTATTTGTAATCATGCACTACTTACTGCACCTTGTATTACCCATTCGTGTATATCAACTTTATTTATGATATGTAAAAATGCCACAAAACAAAGGGATAAGATTTTGTATAGTTATTCCTTGGATAAACAGTATCCTCTGTAGTTTTTGGATTACCTGTAATTTTCATACTTCTACTCACAATTAGATTTGGTATCGTGTGACCAAAAGACTGAATTTAATATGATAAATTAAGTGATGGTTTGATTGATTTAAATAAAGATTTTTGCTTATGCAAGCTTAGAGAATATATGGACCAGATGAAATTTAGATTTGAGATATGGACATTAAAGGGGGTCCACTGATGTTCTAATATGGTGCCAGAAGTAGGTTGGTGCAATAGTACCGGCCAATTAAATAAATAAGTATAGGCCCAAACAAACTAAGTAGTCAGTGCTCCCCTCCAAGCATACTGAGCTGTTCAGTTGTACTGAGCTTCACAAGCATTGTTTTGGAAAGATGAGGTTGTCTAAATACATGAGTTTCAGAGAATGCACACATTAAATCTTCCCAGGCTGTAGCAAGGAAGATACATATAGCAGGGTTAAAACTGGCAAACACTGGGGAAAAAATGCCTTATCTGATAGGTAAAATCTAACATAAATGAAATAGTTTTAAATATCACAGTCATTCACATGAAGACAAACAGCAGCTGATCTTCTGATTGTCCAGTTAACTGTAGACATTATATGTATATAGTTTAAGACCACAGACTAAAAGAGGACCTAAGATGACTGACATATTTATGCGTCTTGTAAACTTGTCACAGACACAAATAGATGCTGTAAACTGGAACCACGCTGTCAAAGTTTACTGTCAGTTTTTTTCCAGCTTAATAAGCTGAACAAGTAGTGTGGTATGTTATCTAAGACACAATAAAATTACTCATATTTGTTATTTCTTTGTCAGCTTTATTGTCTGCATCACTTTTTATCCTGCTTTGACAAACTTTTACAATGAAATAAATACTGATGCTTTTCAACACTTCCTGGAACAGCGAACAGCCCAAAGTTCACATTGAGCATAAATATCTAAATTCATGTTATCATTTTTAGCCAGTGACATGCCCATATAAAAACGTCTGGGTCCAAGACTTTTTTGCATATGGAAAGAATAAATAGCATTTTCGAAATTTGCCTCTATTGTGCTTTGTGATAGACACAAATGTTCTCAATCCAGTTCATTGTGTCCCTTTTTCAAATGTCCTCCTTACGAGGTCACTAAGTAGCCTAAATGCAAATTTTGCTACATGCAAGTTAAGACATAAAACTGCATAAAACTGACACCAGGACTAGCAACCTGATCAAAATAACCCAGGCAAACAGGCAAACTTTGTCAAAAGTGGTTGTTAAGCCTGTTTAGCAATTCGACATACTGAACAGTGGGTGCTTTTGTAGAATAAAGTTGAAATATAATATTACACTTATTTATATCTGATGTCATTTCAATGTGCAGGAGTGTTAGCATACTGTACTTAACAACCTCATAATTCAGAGGATCCAGCTACACTTGGAGGAAAATGTACACGGTGCAAATTGGTGATTTTCAAATATATAGATGAGCCCCTATAATTTTTTATAGATAAACCCCTTAGACCCAGTTCCTTATATGGGCATATTGCCCACTACAAAATGATGCAATTTGAGGGGTCTTTTGGTCTGTTGTGATGGAAAATGGACTTAGTTTTCCATAAAAAATACAAAAGCCATTTGAATGTACTTGATGCCTTTATAATATCAGTAGAAGCCCTTGGCCCAATGAGGTTTTTTGCTGTTGACCATTAAGTGGTGCACGGCTCATTAATTACAGACTGTCAAACTTTGTGCGGCTGTATATGCACGAAGAGAGAAATAACAGCATGTTAGCAAGCATATTCATAGACCACGTTAAGCTCTTACTGTTTTGCTTAGGTTAACATTTATTTCCTTACTGCTTTTTTAGAATCTTCTCAGACAAATGAATGCTTCAGCATTCTGCTGTTACTGCGGCAGTTTGCCATAGCAACCAGCCTGGAGCAGCCGTGAGCCAGCAGTCGATTCAAAGGGGACAGAAAAAAGAGGTGTGTCTGACACAGACCTTCTCCCTATGCCTGATAAGCACAATGTAGAGGTGGAGCAATTACCAAAGCTATTTATATAGATGACCCAAGTGACTGAGCAGGTGCACGTGATGAATATATTGAACAGGATCCAGGAAGTTATGTATGTCACGTGATCCATTCATTCATTGGATGACAGATTGCCTCTATGTGGAGCTGGAGAGATGAGTTGGGATGCTGCTCGGGAAGAGAAGTGGGCTACACAGAGCAATGGGGGCCCCAGTCAGACTCCTCCTCCCTGGGAAAGTGTGTGTGTGTGAGAGAGAGAGAGAGAAGGAGGGGGATAGCAAGAGAGGCACACAATGAAGGGCAGAAGAGGATACAATCAGAGGTTGTATAACCTGTGCCGGAAAAGCAGGGAATCTATGCCTTGGACAATGATCTGCTTTCTCATTCTTCCCTAGAAATTCATGAACTGTCAACAAGCTGTGTTGAGGAGAAGATAGCATGGTGAGAACTGGTTTCTTTTCTCATAGCATTGTTTATTGGCATCTGCAGTCCTGCAGGTTTCTGTGCCATGGAACGGAATGCTGATCCATGGCCCGGGTAAACTTTTTGAGTCTGTTATGGTGTTTCATGCAAGTATTGTCTTCATTTGTTTGGAAGAAACTTCTACAACCTTTGGAATACTTCAAAACTGGAGGTATAATTAACTTCTCGCATTCAGGTGGACATTTTCATTTCATTAATAATGGCACTTTTAGATGGAAACAGGCTTATGTCTTCTAGAATTTGCTCTCTTCTTGCAGAAGAATTCATGTCATGTTTGTGCTATTACATACAGCCACGTGGTGCCAAACATCTGACCGGTTTCATCAGCTGTTAGCCTGGTCTGCTCTGCAACTGATCCCTACACACCAAAGGAAACACAACTGTCAAGGACACCCAGCAAAAGACTACAATGACTTGCAGCTAACTAGAATTCCAAGATTAGTTGTAGCAGGAACTCTTTCAGCACAGATTCTGTGAATGTAAATATTATCCAGAGTTCTCTTGCAAAATGGGAAACATACTTAAATGCTGTTACCAAGTGTCTCATTTTATCTGGGGTCAGGATGTTCCTGGCCAAACTGAGGAGCGATCTCCTCTTCTGTCAAGGGAAAACAGTGATGTTGAAAGCCTTTCTCCGTCTAAGACTTCAGCTGATGTGCTGGCATCTCCTGTCCTGGACCAAGACCACCTCCTTTTCCCTGATATAGTCCTGAGCAGTAACCTTCGAGCTGTCCTGGACAGAGAAGACTTAACCCAGCCATTAGAGCTTGTGTTAGCAGAGAGAGGGCGAAAGCATGGGGGGAATGATGGAATAGATCAAACTTATGAAGGTTTTGGAGGTGAAGATGATAGAGTGAGAATGTCAAACACAAGCATTGGTCAGCAGGAGCTCCAGTATTTGGACAGGAATCAGTTATGTGCCACTGAGAAAGAATGGCCATTACTGTCTTCCTTGTACTCAGAGCAGTGGCCTACAGAGCAACCAAATGCTGTTAATTCCACTTCTCAAACCCTGATCTACACACATGGACAGGGAACCGGAATTTGGAGTAATTCCATCTGTCAAAGTGTGCAGTTACTAGCACAGGGAAACACTAGCCAACAACTCATTTCTTCAGGGCCACAATCTGGCCAGTCACCTTTGTTGGAAAAACTTGCAAAGGATGCTACACAGACTGACTTTGACACGATTAAAGCAAGAGAGGGTGGAGCTCATATTGAGCAGAAAGAACACGGTCCCTCTGAACTAGCAAAGGGTTTTGCTCCAGAACAGATGGAGCAAAACTTGGTACAATGGGACATGAACCTAGCACAACTGGGACAAGAAGCTATACAGACAGCAGGACATCTGCTGTTAAATGTAGGTGAGAGCAAACACAGAGTTGTATGTTCAGGTAAAAATGTAGCACAGATAGATGAATGTGTAGTAGCAGTGGATCTTGAGGGAAGCCAACAAGTGGAACATTATTATATGACTCAAACAGAACAGGGAGAAGCATATCATAGAGAGAACATAGCACAGCCAGATGGTGATGAAATAAAAAGTGAGGCAGATATTGAAATGAGTCAAGATGGAGAACCAGACATAAAACTTAGAGACCATGAGCCATTATCTGCAAAGAATCCAATTAATTTACTGCAGGCAAAGCAACATGTTGAAAAGAATCAACAGGAGACCTCACAGACAGAACAGGTTAAGTTAGAGCAGGAGTCAGAAAGGAACCTTACACAGGTGGTAAAGGCCATGGACCAGATGGGCCAAACACTAGCGCACATAGAACAACATACTGCTGAGAATAGGCAGGAGGTTTTACCAAAAGAGCAAGACAGGATGGAGCTAAGAGCTGTTTTAGAAGAACAACATAACCAGAGGTCAGAAAGGCAGAACAAAGATCAGAATATGGACCAGACAAGAGGGGTTGTGGTGCAGATTCAACAGGAGGAAAACACATTTGGAAGACAGCAGGATCCTGAGCAGACAGCCATGGCTATTGACCAAGGAACAGACAAGGAAGAAACTGATCGCTTCACCCTGTTTGTGGTTGACAAGCTGTTCCTGGCCACCCCGAATATTACAGGTTTGTCCATTGTCATATAATTCATTCAAAATGTCAAAAAACTTTGATGTACACACCTTGGAAGTTAATGAGAATGTTTAATAGCGTGTATGTAATTTACCTTTTTTACATGATAGATGTTTTGCTTATTATGTCACACACAGGGTAGAACAGGTTAATTATTCTGTCAGCATTTATGAAGAAAGTGGATCAAAATTCTGACACGTGTGCCCCTTCTAGGTGTTGTAAGCAACTATCAATACTTTCCCATAGCTGCTGGCTGACTAATTACCCTGTTACTAACTCATATGATGTAATGTGCTGGCATGTGAATAAGGTGAACAGAAACACTGATTGACATATAACATTATATTTGCATCATTAGAGCATAAAAACATCAATTGGCTAATTCATGAGAGAGAAATATCTTTCCATAAATGCATTCTGTATTTTTAATGGGTTATGGACGATGGGTAAACCAGGCACGTTTAGGACACCTTTGTGAACATGCATTTTATTATATTACACAAAAACACACTGTTATCTTTTGATGTTCAAATTTGAAAGCCATTATTTGAAAAACATTAGAAAAAATGATCTTTTGAAAGAAGCTCCCTATAGGACTGAAATTTCAAACCTTTGATTTTAACGAAGGTGCACACGCCATCAATGACTTTCGGCATCTACACACATTTCAAGTCAGACTTCCAACACTGCTCAATGTCTTAATACTTCATTAAATGAAATTCAGAACCAGGCCAAAAAAGCCCTAGTCGGTGACATGTGGCTTGAACACCAAGAAAGCTGATCAAAGGAAATGCTTCAGGATGCTCATCTGTTAACTCCAAGTCAACATGACTAACCTTGTCAAATCGTAACTTACACCGATCAGGCATAACATTATGACCTTGTTTCTACACTCATTGTACATTTTATCAGCTCCACTTAACTATATAGGTGCACTTTGTAGTTCTACAATTACAGACTGTAATCCATCTGTTTCTCTGCATACTTTGTTAGCCCGCTTTTACCCTGTTCTTCAGTGGTCAGGACCCTCACAGAGCAGGTACTATTTGGGTGGTGGATCATTCTCAGCACTGCAGTAACACTGACACGGTGGTGGCGTCTTAGTGTGTGTTGTGCTGGTCTGAGTGGATCAGACACAGCAGTGCTGCTGGAGTTTTTAAACACTGTGTCCACTCGCTGTCCACTCTATTAGATACTCCTACCTTGTCAGTCCACCTTGTAGATGTAAAGTCAGAGACGATAGCTCATCTGCTGCTGCACAGTTTGTGTTGGTCATCCTCTAGTCCTTCATCAGTGGTCAAAGGACACTGTTGGCTGGATATTTTTGGTTGGTGGACTATTCTCAGTCCAGCAGTGACACTGAGGTGTTTAAAAACTCCAGCAGCACTGCTGTGTCTGATCCACTCATACCAGCACAACACACTCTAACACACCACCACCATCTGAGAATGATCCACCACCCAAATAGTACCTGCTCTGAAGAACAGGGTAAAAGTGGGCTAACAAAGTATGCAGAGAAACAGATGGACTACAGTCTGTAATTGTAGAAGTACAAAGTGCACCTATATAGTAAGTGGAGCTGATAAAATGGACAATGAGCATAGAAACAGGGAAGTGGTCATAATGTTATGCCTGATCGGTGTATTTCACTGCATCTTTTAGCTGGAAAACAGTAAGCTTTGTAAAGGGTTATATGAAATCTGATAAGCAATCAGCTGATACCTAAATGATGTTGAAAGTTTCTATTAAATCTATGCCAGTACTGTAAAACAAGCTTGATGTTCATCAGCACTTTTCTGTGGCACCTCCTATGTGGTATAGCTGTGCTTTGTACTATCATTTTTAGGAAAGCAGTTTGCACAGTGCTAACCATGTAGCTTCTATGACATGTTAACTGCACATGTTAGCTGCACTAGCTTCATGGATTCAGTGCAAAATGAAACAAGCAAACTGTCTGACTACATTTAGAAGTGAATTCTGAAGTGAATTCTATATTGTCATCACATCGTCACAGTCATCATTTGAAAAAAGACAGAATTAGTAAATATGGGGTATTATGTAACATTACTTTGCAAATGTTCAAACCATTGAGCTCTTATCAGTGATTATAAGCTACTCATTATATGTCATTTTTCCTTTTCACCTAATTCAAGGACCAAGTGCTGATAATGTTTTCAGTGACCAAACAGAGTTGTCAGAGCTGGATAGGTACAGAGCCAAAGAACACCAGGATGACCCTGCTGCTCTCGAAGACACCCCTGAAGATACAGGATTCACAATCAAGATCCAGGCTCCTGGCAGTGAGCCCACCGACTTCCAAGTAAAGGCCTTTTACTGTGCATAAACCCCAGTGTAGCTGTTACGTGCATATTATATTAGGAAATTAACTTTTTATGTCTCTTTTTAGTACATCTCTAATTACATCATTAGCTTTTTTGGCAGAGTGGACACTTTCTACGGCCCTTTCAATCATGTTCTTCTATTTGTCCTGACTTCCAGGTCTCACCTTTAGCCATGGTACAGGAAATCAAGCAAGTGTTGATGGACCGTGAGGAGACTTGCCACCGTACTTGCTTCTCCCTTCAGTTAGATGGAAACACACTGGATAACTTCGCCCACCTGAGGTCAGTTGCTGGTCTACAAGAGGGCTCACTTCTCAAGATTGTGGAAGGTAAGACCCGAATATCTAATATAGTGAAAATTCTCTAACACTCACTGTTGTCACCATTTTCTACTACTGAGAAAAATAACTAATATTAGTTAGCTAATTAATAACTACTTTGAAGTTGTGTTACATATATTTTATAGACATGGGCATCACTTTGTTTTGAAAAGAGGACAAAAGCACTTCACCAGTGAGAAATATGTTTAAATTGATGATCCTGCTGCGCTTTCTCTTTACAATCATTGTTTGATGGTTTATGTGGTCGCCTACAGTACACAAAGCCTTTCTGTCTTCTTGCTCTGTGATTAAAAAAGATGTAGAGCCTTCATAACTGATGATGCCTGTTAGCTATAACTATGATGGATTGATAAACTAAAAGAGCTTTCAGTAGCTTTCGGTGTGTGATCCACACTACACTAAAGACAAGATGAGCAACAGGCAATGAACATCAATGCAATGCATTTGCTAGTGGCTACTTTGCTTACCATTACAGCAAGCCCTATTCTCTGACCACTCTACTCTAGACTCTCCACTCCCCCAAATGTCTCTTGACCTGGGTTTTGTCATTAAGTATTATTTAGCTACTGCAACCTTGAAAGCTCATTTAGCACACTGTTGTATTTAAGTGCTTATTATCAAGCTAGCTAGCTAATCAAGCTTTTCATGGTTAGCTAACATACAACTATGAGTGCCCTCCATTGTAACGCTGGCTTATTTAATGAAGAGGATAACAGCTTTCTGTGATTAACTAACATAGCACAGTGAGTGGCCTTCATTGAAATTTAGCGCCTTTGGAATAAATTTGCCTTGCGCTTATGTTAGCTCACAACTCTATGTAGATAATCTTTATTTCAGATGTGCTTTGCCCAAACGATTTCCCAAAGTAGCATCAGGTGGACTAGCTGGAGCCCACAAAGGATTAGTTAGCTAAATTAGTTGCTACAAAAGGAAGATGGATTACCATCTAACTTACCAATCGTTATTTGACAGCCGCTCATTTACACATCCTTCTGCCCCAAAACACCTAAAGGATAAATAGATATTAACAAATAAAAGTTTGCTATAACTGTCAGTGTTAGCCTTCCTCATTATTTAGCAATGCTAGAATGGCTGGCTGGCCTAGCTAGCTAGCCAAATTAGCTGTTTCAAAAGGAAGACAGATTACTGCTAGCTTATCACTCATCTGATATTTGCTCACTTAAACGTCGCTCTGTCCCAAGACACTTATAAAATGTATATAAAACATTTATTACCGTCAGTTATAATGCAGATGCTAGATATCTGACTAGGGTCAGATATCCTGACAGGCTAAACTGCCAAGTTGTTGTTACTAAATTGACATGATTGTTTATCAGAATTACTTATACTTATAACATAACCTACATCTTTTAATAATTATTCATTCTAACAACATAAAGTAAACATAAAAAATTCTTTACCTCTAGCATTTTATGGAGCCCCTAAGGTGATTATTTTTTAACAAGGTGTGGCCTCTAATTAATATATAAGCTTCTCATAACTTGTGGCCTCACTAGTATTTTGTGGCTTTAAGATATTAATTTGTGGCCTCAATATATTAATTTGTGGCCACACCTTATTAAAAAGTAATCACCATGTCAACCTAACCCTAGCATTTAAATGACAGTTGAATAAGTCTCTTCCTGATCTGCTAGAATCTCCCTGAATTTTCAGTTTGTAATGTTTGCATGTTACTGGGCACATGGGCTGCAGTGGTGTTGTAGTGATGTGATGGATTACATGCTGATTCAACATGAGCTCATTTATACATGCTCCTGAAGAATTGAAGAATGTTTTTAGTCAGAGTTCTTCTGGTTTTAAAATTATATGTTTTGCTGAAATGCTATTTTGTGCCCACCATTTTTTTTACATTATCTGTTTGTTCCCACTTCACCAAGTGCTGGGGACAATGTGGGGCATTTAAAAAAAGGGTGAAGACATTTCTCTAGCATCTCCCGCCATAATGATTAGGCAGATTTACCAATGTTCAGAGGTAGGTAGAGTAGCCTAAACCAACAGGTAAAAGTGTTGTCACTTGAGTGATATAATACCTCAATTAGAAATTAAAGCAGCATAGGAAACAAAAAGAACTAGAGTACGCGAGAAAGGTATTAGGCCGAAAATCTACAAAGTTGGGGTATACACACATAATGTGCAAATCTGCAAAACTTTGATAACATATCAGGATTTGGCTGTCCCTTTCTGAGGATGACCAGCATGGTGTTAATGATTGAATGACATTTGCAAAAATTTCAGACCCATACACAATTCGGGAGGTTCGTATCCATCTGCGTCACATCAGAGATCTGCTGAAGAGTTTGGACCCCACGGATGCCTATAATGGAGTGGAGGGCGGCTCGCTGTCCTTTCTCAGGTTCTTCACTGAAGAACATACAGAAGGTGAAAAGAACAGGCTCATGCTTTGGTTTCTCTCATTGTCATAACTGCAGAACTTAATAATAAGGCTTAAGATTAATGACTAACTAATGTGTCAACATATATATATATATATATTATATTTTATATATTTTAATTGTTCTCTTTTAAAGAAATAATCACATTTAGATTTGTGTCTATTAAAGTGTGCTGTTAAAAGGCATGACTATGATCATTGCTTTTACATTTTCTCCATTTTTATCTACCTTTAAATTTCTCAGAGAGTGGCAAGGTGAAGAAGAAAGGTGAGGAGCTGAAGCACTTCAGCTGCAGCCCTCCTGAGTACATTCTTCCTGGAACGAAGGAATGTTTTCTGGCACCATTGCAGCCTCAAACTGAGAACTTGAAGGTACAACCTTACATATTTCAGTAAATAGTGAAGTTATTTATGTAATAGTGAAATAGTGAAACTGCAGTTTTCACGATAGGTTTAGGCGTTAAATCTAACAGTTGTGTATAACTGCATATGCAAGCATTTGCAGTCTCATCTACAGAATACAGTTTTGCTAAAAGCTGAGACTGAGTGAGAATAATATGAACCAGACAAGTGTTTAATGTCTATAAAAGCTACCCCAGAGAAAGTTATTAAATGACATAGCTACTAATGGCTACTACTTGCCTAATGTCTGAGACTTAGATAGTGAGACGATAGCTTAGAGAGAAGGTTTGGCCGTTAAATTTTGCACCATTTCACATCAAACCACACTGAATGACTTTGTTTACATCTCAACTCAGTGGTATTTCCCTTAATTTGCGATTAGTACACTCCAGTAAAATAAAAAAAATGGATTGCATTTGCTTTGAGTGTGCAATCCTAACCATTATGTTCTGGGTGCTTGTATTAATAGCCTACTGAGTGCCTGAAGGTTTTGGCGACGAGTAGCTGGAATCCTCCTCCAGGAAACAGAAAGATGCATGGTGATCTCATGTACTTGAACGTTGTTACCATGGAGGACAGACACTGCAGTGTTACAGCATCAACAAGGGGCTTTTATCTTAATCAGTGAGTAACCACATTAGAAAATGCTTGAAAACAGGACCTCATGAGAGATGCTGAAAATGAGCATTGAAATGAAAATTAATGAAACAGATTAATTATGTATGATCTTGCCCTGCACTTTTATTTGAATCTCAGGCCTCATACATATGGATATTGCTGTTCTGTCCTTTCTAGATCCACTACTTACAGTTTTAACCCAAAGCCTGCAAGTCCCAGTGTGCTTAGTCATTCTTTGGTGGAGCTCCTTAGCCAGATCAGTCCAGTTTTTAAGAAGAACTTCAGTGCTCTACTGAAGAAGAGGTACATGTTTAAAAAGCTGGACTTCTTACAAAAAGTAGCTTTGTTTGGGGAAGAATAGCAATGGTTAATACTTTTTTGGCCATTTTTTTGCTTGTGAATGGTACTTTGCACCATGCTGTGCTTTACAGAACATCAACACACCCCTTTGAAAGGATAGCCACTCCTTTCCAGGTGTTCAGCTGGACAGCTCCAGCCCTTGACCATGCCATGGACTGTGTCCGAGCTGAGGATACCAGCTCCTCCCATCTGGGCTACGAAGACCATGTGCCTGGACAGGTAGGCTACAGATCTTTAAGAATTGTAAGCTAAAGCAAGATTTGATATATTAGATTCATATCTTCAACATATTCAGATATTCTTGAGTTACATTTAGAGTAAACATCGAAACATGGTCCAAAATGTTCAGTTACAAAAAAACTTTCATCTGTCTACTGAGAGGAGCACCACTTGCTTGAGCCTGGTTGAAAGTCAATGTCGAAAGCCATTCAGGATTTTTGTGGAGAAACAAGCAGTGGTCATAGGGCCAATTTACTAAAAGAGGCACTAATAACAGATAGTTTACAAACACTTTGTCCCGGTAGGGTTGGCCGTTTTACTGGGTTTTCTACTAAGAGGTCACATATAAAATGAACACAGGCACTACTTTGTAATTAACATATGACCAGCTCAATATAAACCACTGTTTGGCTCACATGCTATTTGTAAGAAAATCATTTCTGCCCCAAAAAAATGTTATTCTTCTCTGATTCTGGTTCAAATGGCAACTTATTGTACAGAAATAATGACTTATCTTCCCAAAAAAAAGTTACTTCTTGTCAAGAAAGTACATGATCATTTTGACATAATAAGCCTTTATTTAGAGAAAATGAGATATTATTTTGACATAATATGCCAGAATTGTAAGAAAAGTCTGACTTTTTGTTTTAAAATATATGTTCATCAGAGGCGGGCGGCACGGTGGCGTAGTGGGTAGCGCTGTCACCTCACAGCAAGAAGGGCCTGGGTTCCATTCCCAGCCGGGGTCATTTCTGTGTGGCATGTTCTCCCTGTGTCTGTGTGGGTTTCCTCTGGGTACTCCGGTTTCCTCCCACAGTCCAAAGACATGCAGTCAGGCCAATTGGACATGCTAAATTGCCCCGTGTGTGTGTGTGTGTGTGTGTGTGTGTGTGTGTGTGTGTGTGTGTGTGTCTGCCCTGCGATGGACTGGCGACCTCTACAGGGTGTATCCTGCCTTCCGCCCAATGACAGCTGGGATAGGCTCCAGCACCCCACCACAACCCAGAAGGATAAGCGGTTTAGATGATGTGTGTGTGTGTATGTGTGTATATGTGTTCGGAGGCTCTGAAATTTCTGCAACAGAAGCCACAGCATGCACAGCAACAAGTAGCTTTGTTAATCCAGCACTTGCAAAACCAAAAGATTTACAGTATGTGTTTTTAACAGTTTGGAAAAAAAGACTGTCTTTTCTGGGTGAAAAAGGACTGTTGCACCTATTTAGTAAATCCCCACAGCCACTTTTAAAGACCAAAATAGGGTTTGTGACAGTGCAAAATATTAATAAATCTGTCCCACGGTCTGTAAAATTCAGAGATAATTATGATATCGCCTGAGCAGAGTTAACTACTTCCAAGGAGAGAGGAAAACTGTTCTAGATGTACATTTAAACGTGATGGAGAAAGTCATTACTCAGTTGTAAATGTGTTTAATGCAGATTCGTGACTGGAATGAAGAGCTTCAGAGCACCAGAGAGCTTCCACGCAAAACCCTCACTGATCGTCTGCTGAGAGACAGAGCCATCTTTAAGGTGAGGTCAACACACCCTCCCCTTTTTCTTTGTCACTTAAAGGGCTCATTCATTTTTCTTGTTTTTTTTTTACTTTTCCCTGAAGTCCACTTTTGATGTTTGTATGGTTTTATACACCCAAAACGGTCATACTTTATTTTAACATGACCATTTTGCAGCCTATCTTTATTCTCTAAACAAACCGTTGTGTTTCTGTTATTGTGCCTTTAAGACTGATGTATGTAAATGACCTCTGTTCTGATTGGCTGCTGTCCAAGCTGCAATGTACAGAACAAACTGTTAAGACCAAAATGAAAACCTCAGGGGTGTGGGAGAAAAGAAACAACAGCCACTCCTTTTGGATGTCTCTTGGGTTCTTTGGAAGGCTGCAATTATATATTTGCTTACAGCCAGGAACAGCTGGGACGTGAACAGTATGTTTCAACAATGATCACATGGTACATCAAATTTTTCTATTGAAAAAAGCAAGAAAATTCATTTTCTTCATGATATGAGCCCTTTAAATTAGGTTACATTAGTTTTTTTTTTTTATGTAATTATGTAATTATGTATCATGAATCAATTCCAATGTAGCCTGAAGTTCTGCTTTTTAAACAGAATAAAAGCCCTGTCAATTACTCTCCTCAGGCTAACAGCGACTTTGTGACCACTGCTACACGAGGTGCGATGGCAGTGATTGATGGCAATGTGATGCCCATCAACCCTAGTGAAGATCCACGCAATCAGATGTTCATCTGGAACAGTATCTTCTTCAGCCTGGGCTTTGACGTGCGAGAACACTATCAGGATCTGGGTGGTGAGGCAGCAGCTCATGCTGCCTCAACCATTGATCTAAATGGTGTTAGAGCGTACAGCTTGGTGGATGCAGACGGCCTGTATCTACTTGGTACTGTGGTGGTGGATTATCGAGGTTTCCGTGTCACCGCCCAGTCAATCGTTCCAGGCATTCTAGAGCGTGGTCAGGAGCAGAGTGTAGTCTATGGTTCCATTGACTTTGGAAAGACTGTCGTCTCTAATGAAAAGTAAGTTCAATGTAGAAGTATTGTGTGTGTGTGTGTTTATGTATTACACACATATATGTATGTACACCCAGGTGAAAGAGGTCTCAGAAAAACGTTTGAGAAGAAAAAATAAATTAATATAAAATATGCCATGACTTTTGCACAGGTCAATCTTTGCATACAACTGTTTACACATTCAATACTATTCAAAAAAATCACTTGTTATTTTGAGCTTGTTATTTTGTTCTGTAATAACTTATACAGAGTAGATTAAAACACCATAAACTAGATATTAGAGGGTATTTTAAGATGTTTTATTGAATATTTCATGTTTTTCAAATAGAAGGTATTCTTGATGTCAGTTTTATAATAAAATATATATAAATCTTTCTCAGTCATTAAATATTCAGTTACAGCTCTGTTCATCATCCTGGACACATCTAAGATTTCTTCCTTTTTACAAATTAAATAAAACCTATGAAGTTATGAAGTAATGGGATCATTCTATTTTTAGAATCATTTTATACATGCACCTTCGTGTGTTGTCGGACACAAAATAAAAGTCTCTTTTTACATCCCAAGGTACCTGAACCTGCTGGACAAACCCAGCAAGCAGCTGAGAGTACAGCGCCACCTAGTGCTCAACAAAGACGACACAGCTGTGGAGTTGTGCTCCTCTGTAGAATGTAAGGGCATTGTGGGTAACGATGGCCGCCACTACATCCTGGACCTGCTGTTCACATTTCCGCCTGACCTCAATTTCCTCCCTTTGGAAGGGGAGGAGCTAAAGCCTGAGTGTCAACAGCTCGGTTTTCCACGGCAACACCCACATCGCCTAGCCTGTCTGAGGCAAGAGCTGATTGAGGCTTTTGTAAAGCACAGGTGAACATCTTCCCTGATAGTTACTGCATCTGATACACCTAATGATCATTCTGCCACATTGCAAAGACAGTCATTTTTAAGAAATGACACTGATTTTTCAAAATTTCTGCATAATCCAGTCACTGAGTCAGTCAGAGAGTTTTGATTGGAAGTATAGAGAAACCTTACAGTGGTGCTCATAGGAACCAGTGTTCTTATCACCACCACTGTAACTTGTTAAGTTTCGCTAGAAAGGAGTATTTTGCATCAAACCACTCTGAATGACTCTGTTTACGCCTTAACACCATCTTAATTCCCCATTAACTCATTTAACACAAGCAAGCCTTGCTGTTATGTTTTAGTAGCTCAGGAGAAGAGAACTGTCCAGTTATCACTGTCTGAATTTGACATTGTTTTGTATTCTATTTACATGCTCACTTTTTGTCCCTTCAGATATCACTTAGTTATGGAGGCAGTCTCTAAAGACACAGAGCAAGAAGACAACTGCATCAAAGCTACTGGATCTCCTCTGGTAAACCACAGCCCAAATGCATCTCTAAACCCCTCAAGCCAGTATATAGATGGTACTCTAGACACAGACGTCCAGAACAGTTCTCCCAAGGAGAGTATTCCTTCTTCCTTCAGGAACTCCTCCTTTGACATACGCTTCAACCCTAACATTTTCTCACCAGGTGCGTTGGTTAGTTTAAGGCTACTAATGACAGAATCTTTACAGTACTCTGATGTTTCTATGGGAGCATAAATGTACTGAAATTAGAAGCAGCTATAAACACTTAAGAAATATTGTCAGTTTCAGCACAAAAGTACAAAGTTAAATGTGCAGTGGCAGTGGCTTGATGAACATGTAGCATTCATGTTTGGCATGTGTTCATGTTCAAGGTGTGCGTTTTCCAAAGGAAAGTTGTAATGATATTCAAGAACAGAAGCAGCTTTTAAAGGATGCTGCAGTCTTCCTCATGTCCAGCCAAATCCCTGCCTTAGTGAGTAATTTTAATTTAGTCAGAATCACACAACTACCCAATGTTTATTGACACTGTACTTCTATCTATCTGTATTTAAAGCAGAATTCCATCTATTTTTCAAAACTTCTGCATAATTGATGATTTGAGATACAACTTTGCCCTAAAAGTTTTTTCTACTTTTTCTACAAGCCATTCGTGGCAGAGGGTGCATGCTGGGCAAAGTAGACCCCAAAGAATATTTTTTCAGATTTAGCACTATTTCACCGTGATTAACATTACACATAAAAACTCAGAAGACACCTGAGTATCATTGGTGATTTTGGATAGTTAATAAAATAGACATCATGATCCGTGGCTCCTGTCACCACCACTGTAAAGAAATCTGCGTCTGTAAGTTTCTCCATAATAAGCCTTTTCACACTAAACCACTCTGAATGACTTTTTTTCACATCTCAAAGACTGAATTATGCAGTACTTTTTCAAAAAAGTAGTGGAATTCACCTTGTCTGTATGTATGTTTGGTCTGAAAAGAACAGAGTGGGTGAAAATTCCTGTATCTGATAAATAATGGCACTTTCCTCTGGTCATGTAGATTAAGAGCTGTCTTGATCACACCACAATGCCCATGGATGGTGTCACCCTGACTGAGGCTCTGCATCAACATGGCATCAATGTCCGATACCTGGGTACAGTGCTGGAGTGTATTGAGAAGAATCCTCAGAAATGCAGACTGGATCATGTTTATGTGAGTGTGTGGCTTTTTTGACTTTCATAATGATTCATCATGAAATTATTCAATGACTTATACTCACTGACCAATTTTTAGGTACACCTCCTTGTATCTCCATAGTCCATTTTATCAAGCCCACTTACAATACATGTGCATTGTATAGTAGAAGTGTAAGGAAACACTAACCCTAACCCTAACCCACGATTTGATTTTATTCAATTGACGGTACTGGGTTCACAATTTGGTATTCTCACATATTTTCAACACAATTCAAATGAACAAAAATGATGACTATAAGCATTTTTATGTAGAACTCACTAAACACACTAGAGCTGGGAGGAAGGAGGGGTGCTGGAGTGAGTTGTTGGTGCTGATGGTTTGCAGACTTTGATGCTCAAACAATGCAATTGCATTAGATTTAATAAAACATTAATAGAATGTTTATACTCTGTGGTTCTTTGTCTCATCTCCTTATTGCACGTTGGCACAGGTTTGCATTGAGATATCACAGTGTTACAGTGCATTGTTAAACCCCTATTCTGTAGTTCTGCAATTACAGATTGTAGTCCATCTGTTTATCTGCATACTTTTTATTAGCCCCCCTTTACCCTTTTCTTCAATGGCCAGGACCACCACAGGACCACCACAGAGCAGGCATTATTTGGGTGGTGGATCATTCTCGGCACTGCAGTGACACTGACATGGTTGTCCTAACTATTGATAAATGGGGTCAAGTTAGGCTAACAAATTATTCAGAGAAACAGATGAACTACAATCTGTAGTTGTAGAACTACTATGCTCCTGTATAGTAAGTGGACCTGATTAAATGAGCAATAAGAGTAGATACAGGGTATGTGTACTTAAAAAAGTGGCCAGTAAGTGTATATGTATACAAAATGTCAGTGATGTGTGATTTTGTTTTCTTGTAGAGAATCGCACTGTGTGAGCTGATCACCAGATGCACAAAACATCTATTCAGGACATACTTGCTAGTAGGTGCCCAAACATTTCTACAATTTCAATTCTGAGCTCCACAACTGGTAATAATATACAGTACTGTACAAAAGTTTTAGGGATCTGTTATATGTATTATACATAAAGCCACTGATCTGAGCAGTAAGCATTTATTTGTTGAAATAAACACTAACATTAGAACTGCAAATATACAATTCATTGTAAATTTATGTGTCAGAGTGTTAGCTTAACAATTTTCAAGGTTCTCTTTAGAGAAGCCAGTGTTTACAATTACCGTTTAATACCTGCTGCAGCTAATCAATCCTTCATTAAATAAAATCAAATGTGCTTCATTAAATTAAATCAGGTGTGCTGCTGATTGAATTTAACAAAACCATGCAATGGCTGGAGTTAACCGAGAAGTCAGGAACTAAACCGCTGTTCTTCTAACTGTATTATTTTAACCAAGTAAATTACTTATTGTGTTTATTTGTATTAATTCTAATGATAGGTAGCTGAGATAGTCGTTAGCAGTTTTTTTGGCTGCCTAATACTTTTGCACAGTACCTTATTTGTTTTATCATAATTTGTTTTTTTGCCATGCATTGCAGACATTTCATAGCTTAGTGCAGTAATATCGCTTTTGCCTATTTTGCTATCAGGCTGTGGAGCCATCTGCCCTGTCTGCCTCAGTCAGCCATTTCCTCAACTGCTTCCTCAGCTCCTCACCTGATTTGCCAGGGACACAGCAGATGGACAGACTGGCGTCCAGACGCAGGAGCCGGCGGAGGCGGAGCCGGGGCTCAGTGGGTGGGGCAGTGACGGCCTGGGCCAGCCTGACCACCAGTGAGCTCTGGAGGACCATCCAGGCTGAAGCTCTGGAATACTACCATTACTGTTTGCCATGGTGAGAGCTGGAGGAACACTGTTTTGACCGTTTACCCTTCTATCAAGACAGTTTGTAGATAAAATTTTGTTAGATTTTAGGAAGTGCTGGGTCTCCAACAACCAAAGGTTGATGAAACACCAATGTATTTAACAATAGTTTGTGTTCATAAAGATTACTGGGTCAGATCATATGTAAGGGAGGGGCATCAGAGCTGAGGGAATAGTGGAACTGTCTATCCCGGGCCCCAGGGTAGAAGTCAGAGGTGTCAGATCAAATTTTCTGTGTTTATGTTTTAATGTCACACATACAAAGACTTGAAAAGGTCATAAATGCAAAACCAGCATTATACTGATGAAGATATGCTAATTCATATACATCCTTGTAATACATGTCCTTCGCATACTGTTGACTGTGTTCTCTTTGAATACTTTTCCAAAGCACTCGCAATCTTCAGATTCGGGGTAGGGGTCCAACACACAACCGGCATTACAAAATATTCTTCTGCACGTTGCATACAATTACACCTTCCACAAGGAAGGTCTTTAAATCCCCAAAACTTACATAGTGCAGCTTTAACCAAAGAGGTTTTCCAAATCATTGCATTGGATTGCAGTGATGTTATCCTCCTGTAATGTATTACATAAGAAAAGCCTTCACCTTCACACTCTATGTCGATAGCAGTCCCTTATATCGATCAGTTTTTAAAGATTTAAAAGTTCATATATTTAGCACACCTGATCCAGTTTATCAAGCCCTCTGCATTTTGTGAATCAGATGTTAATGATTAGAGCTGAAATAAAACTTAACAATAAAAGTTGTACATTATTGCTGCAGTCATTTAATCAAACTTGTTCTGTGATAATAATATTATGTCTTTTAGGTCTTGAAAAGATTTTCATGGATATTTTTACAGTGAGTTCAGGTTCCACTTTTGGCCTGTTGTGTATATAATAATGATGTCACTGACTCAGACGTAATGTCTCGTTTGTGCCTGCAGTGAAAGTGTAGAGCAGGCAGTGGATAAATGCGGCCTGCAAAGGATTACCCTGCTCAGAGAGATTTCCATCAAAACTGGCATCCAGGTAAGACAGCATCGACCTAACCAGCAAAGCCTGCCAACCCTTAATATTCTCTCTTTGGCTGCGTGGTAAATGCTCTCTTCTCCCACCTCCCTCCTTCTCCCACCTCCATCTGCTCCCCCACCCTGTCAGATCCTTATCAGAGAGTACCACTTTGATGCTAAGCACAAGCCAGTCTTCACTGAGGAGGATGTCCTCAACATTTTCCCCATAGTAAAGCACATCAGCCCCAGGGCCAGTGATGGCCTCTATTTGCTACACTGTGGTCAGGCCAAGGTCCAGCAAGGTGAGCACAGGAGGATCTTACACTTACCAAAATATAAAATCTACAATATATGCATCACATAGAGGTGGGCAATGTGATAATATTTTGTCACTATCATGATAAATTTTGTGATATATATATATATATATATATATATATATATATATATATATATATAAGGCTCATGAGGGCCCTAGTCAGCTACCTAACTACTAGTACAAAGACTGCCACTCACTGCCCTGATCTACTGCTATGTCTAATTCTAGTGAGCAAGGATGCACTGTAATGATTGTTGCTATGACTTTTGCACAGTACTGTACAACATGATTAATGTCAATGCTTAATGTTAGATTTCACTATTTTTATGTCTCCTCAGGTTGTCTGAAAGAAGGCTGTGAGCTGATTAGCCAGTCTTTGGGCCTGTTCACTAACGTGTATGGGGCTCTACACCGCGATGTCTGCACCTGTCTCCGTCTGCTGGGGCGCATTTACTACATCCTGGGGGACTACTCTGAGGTAAGCCCTTTTTTATAAACATCTGGCACTGAGCAGTGATGCATTAAAGAAATAGTTAATCAAAAAATATAATTTTTTGCTTTTTTCAAATATAGTTAATCAGCCAAGAGAAATTAGCTTCTTTTCATTTTTTTATTTGAGCAGTGAGGCGAATGTAGTTGGTACAAGAAAAGTAATACAAGCTTATACCCCATCAGTTATCATCTCGCAAACTGCATGCCTAATTCATCACAAATCACATCAAGTAACACTGTGGCATCAGCATTAAAGGAGACTTGGGAGAAGCCATTGTTTCTGCCACAAGAAGAGCTCTTTTATTTACACCAACAGAAAAGGCACATGAAATAGGGCCAAACAACAGGGAAGGTCACTTCTAGCCGTGTAACTCCAGTCCATGGTAGACAATTAACTCACTCTGACTAAACCAACTCCTTCACACAGAATAACAAAATTAACACATACTCAGACTTTAAACTAAGGAACAGCAACATTAACAACATGAAACAACAACATTTAATAACCATGTCTCTAAAGACCCTTCCTGAAACATGGGGCATGTGGCAGCCACCACAATATTAAATAGACATGCTTATGTGGTTTCTGACACTGTGTAACATACTGTTATCTATAAAGATCTATATAAAGTACAAACCCATTTCCAGAAAAAATGAGACAGTAGGAAAAATGTAAATACAAACAGTCAGCCATGATTTGCAAGGCATTTTTGATCTATATTCAGTTTCAAACAGTACAAAAATAACATGTATAACATGCTAATGTATCAATTAATTAACTTTACTGTTTATGTATATATACAGTTATTCTAAATTTGATGTTCCAAAAAAAGTTGGGATGGGGGCATGTGTACCACTGTGTTATGTCATCTTTCCTATTAATAATGTTCAGTAATCATTTGGGAACTTAGGACACCAATTGTTGTAGTTGTGAAATTTTATTTTCATTTGTGGATTTTTTCCCCATTCTTGCTTGATATAACTTGCAGTCCAGTTAGTCTAGTACTTGCATTTTCTTTCTACAAATCCATGCTGTTTTACCACTTGCATAATGTGACTTGGCATTGTCTTGCTGAAACAAGCACAGACGTCTCTGAAAAAGATGTCATCTAGATGGCAGTATATGTTGCGCCAAAATGTGTATGTACCCCTCAGCATTAATGGAGCCTTCATAGATGTGCATGTTTCCTATGCCATTGGCACTAACACACCCCAATACCATGACAGACGCTGGACTTTGAACTTTGCATTGTCCTTTTTTCCATTTCCATGTCTGTAAAACAGTTTGAAAACCACAAACACCTCTTTGTGTCAGCCCATTTCAGATGAGCTTTATCCCAGAGAAATCAGTGGCATTTCTGGATGTAGTTAAAGTATGGCTACCTCTTTGTGTAGTCTTAGTTTGTATATGTAGCAACAAACTGTGTTTACTGACAAGGGTCTTTTAGTAGAATTCATAAGCCTATGTGGTTATATTCATTACAGAAGTATGTCGGTTTAAAGCAATGCTGTCTGAGGGATCATCGGTCACCGGCATTCAAAATTGGTTTTCGATCTTGCCCTTTATGCACAGATATTTCTCTGGATTCACTGAATCTTAAAATAATATTATGCATTGTAGATGGTGAACCAGCTTTTTCTGGAATTGGGTTTGTATGTCACATAGCTAAGAAAATAGTAACTGTAATGTTGTAGCCTGAATTTGGTCTGTTGTTTTGTCATAAATATACCTTTGCATGTGTTTTATCTTGCCAGGCGCTGAGTCACCAACAGAGGGCTGTACTGATCAGTGAGAGAGTGCTGGGGATTGAGCATCCTAACACCATACAGGAATATGTGAGTGTTGTAGTGTCCTTCAGTGTGTGTACTTCATAAAGCGTTACCATGTATTTGTAACTGAAATTAGGGTAGACTGAGTACAGTTGTGACAGTAACATGTTAAATATTTTCTGTGTGTCACAAGCTTCAAGTTCCATATTTGTACTGCATATGCATGACATCATTCTCTTTTGAATATGAGAGATTTCATCTATGTGTACATCACTGCTATGAAGATACCAGCAAAAATTTCCCTTTCTCTCAGTTTAGGTAGATTCCAGCACTTACTTACTCTTGAAACAAAACATGATTTGTTGTGATCATTTATCTGACTACTGAACAAATGTCAGCAGGGGACAGTTGTCACACAGAGTACAATTGTACTTTTGGTAAATTACAATATCAGATGCTTCTATGTACAGAATTAATTTAATTAATTTTTTAATTAATAGCTAGCACTAACCTTAAAAATCACATAGTTTATATTTATCGTTAATATTATTTTACCATTTCATCATTTGTTGTTTTTATTGCTATTATTGTGTTTGCTATTGCTTTTCTTCAAATCTTATGAATTGTTTTTTGCAATTATTTAAAAAACATACTAAATAAAAGAGAACTTTAAGAAGCCTAGACTATTTCCTGTAGTGAGTAGTCTACAAATGAAGTTTAAAGAATTAGTAGTTTATTAAAAAGTTATGGTACACTACTTTTTCTTTAGAATGAGCTATGAACATTTGTTTCTGACCCTGAATTTGTTTGATCAGATAGGTAAAAGAAACATGTAGAAAAATCTGATCATTTCCACTTATATTTCTTGTTGGGTATTGCAAGAAACAAAACTGTTGTACTCGGTCTGCCCTTACTGAGAAACATATTCTCTCTGATGTGCTTCATTACAACAGCTTCCCCTTTTTCTCCATAGAAACACCTTGGTCTTTACTGTTTTGCTGGTGGGCAGGCGGCCACTGCGCTGCGGCTACTATACCGCGCCCGCTACCTCATGCTGCTGGTGTGCGGAGAGGACCACCCAGAAATGGCCTTACTGGACGTAAGTAAAGCCAACATGGTAGCAAGTGTCACTCTCTTTTCTATCTTGACTCATCTTAGGAAAATTTAATCTTTCTAGACTATGAATTTGGCACTATTCATGGACTATTCTGTGATTTCTCCCATGTTCAAAGAAATATTTCAGTTACAGTCATTATTATTGGAGTCATCTCTGAGAAATGATTCGAATAAAACTGGTAACTTCAGTCTGGTAACTGCGGGTGTGTCCCGCTCATCCCTAGTAAAATATGATTCTTTTGAAGCCCATGTATCAAACACAAGGCCCGAAATTATTTACATTTTCTATTCATTTTTAGCCTGTTTCACAATGTGTCGCACTACAATCCCCAGCATGCACATCAATGTAATGTGCACCGACCCCACTCCCCAAACAACAATCAATGGGACAGCACCACAAAAAGAAAACATGCCTAAATGTCAAGTTCAAGCAGGTAGGCAGGTTTAAAAAAACCTCTTGGGACAAAAGAGGTTTAACAGTTGTCTGTAGCTAATGTAGTTACAGTCTTCGCATATTTTGAATAAACAATGGCCAGTTTGGGTCATTAAAAACATAGGTGTTCTCTGGCCAACAAATGTATTGAGATTTTTTAATATGGCACTTTCAGAGGTTGAGTTTGACATCCCTGTTTTAAAGGCTATGCAAGCACAGTAAGACATACTATTACTTTCTATGAAAACTATTTTATGTCAAACCTTCTGCCTAGTCTTTGCTGGTACATGAATGTTGTTTCTGTGTGTAACTAGCAGTTATTCAGCTCATCACTGATTTTGTTTGTGATTGTCTGTTCAGAGTAAGATTGGTCTCATGCTGCATGGTGTGATGGAGTGTGACCTCGCCCTGAGGTTTCTGGAGAGCGCCCTGGCCTTGACCTCCAAATATCAGGGGCCCACTTCCCTTAAAGTGGCACAAAGGTGAGGAATGAACCAACAACAAATATGACTGAACAAAAAGTCAGGATGGACAGCGCCAGCTTTTAGGTGTTATTTGGGTATATGCTAATGTTGCTGACCTCTGATAAAAATTTCTCCTCTATTCTTCTTTTTAGTCATCACCTGCTGGCAAAGGTGTATGAGAGCAAAGGAGAGTTCCGCTCAGCGCTGAGGCACGAGAAGGAACGCTACATGATTTACAGGAACGAGGTGGTTTTCTAGTGCTTAAGCATTGAGTAGTTCATTTAGCTAAAGCATGTCCTGGTGGCAGAGGTGAAACCCATGAGTAACACTAAAGAATGGTAAACAGAAAAAACAGCATCGTGATATGTATTTAGGTATTCTCATGATTACATTATTTGACATTAAAACTAATCCCCTTCTAGATTTCTGTCATTAATTACAATTTTGAGCAAACAGACAAATGCATAGGAATATATGACACCTCTTTTTGTTAGTCTGGTTGAATAAATGTTTCTGACATCTGTGATTTAATCATGTAATGATTTGGTATGAATCTATGCTTGTTGTTATTTAGAAACTGCAGTTAGCAACATTGGCAGAGGCCATGCCTGCATTATGGATCTCTGGCAGTTTTGTCACTCCTTTACATTTGATGCGTTATTGTGGCCTCTTTCTGCAGGCCCCCTAAGTGACCATTCTGGCATCAGAATGGAAATCATCTTGGATGTTTTTGATTAATACAATCAAATAAAATATTGTTCTCATAACCCTGTTATCAGATTAACTAGGACACTGTTCACTCTCTGTATGTGAAACGATGTGACACTGTGTTGAGCTGCTAGCAAGCAATGAGAAGTAAAAGGGGAGGGGTGGGAACCCCCTGCTGTGAAAACTATTCACATCTCTCCACAAATGGCTGTGCCAAGATAAAATGGACAACTACTCCATTTTTAATATGCCACAGTAAAAAAGGATTTAAACACAGTAAAAACACTTTGTGACCTTTTACTTGTACTATTTTAGGGCAGTGTTCATAAGGCTACATGACACCTACCTAAACCCTTCATGACAACAGACTTTGACCTACATAAACATTTATTCAGATAGGGTTATTTGTCATAAAGGTTGCATTTGCCAACTTTGATGTCAGGTAACACTGATGTTTTGTCATGAGACTTTCTGGGGTAAAATGACTTTGTAGCTTGTTGCTCAATACATGTCACGGTGACATAATGCTATTAATGTCACTTAGCTTGCTAAGTCAGGCTGGTTAAACCCAAAGTGAGCATTTTCTGAGGCCCTTTGGTAAAGTGAGTTTAATTTTGCCATTTATAGGATTTAAGATGTCACATCAGCATTATGTCATTGTGATATACCCAAGGCTATAAAGTCACTTGTTATAACATGCTGTCATTTCACCCAAAAAAGTGTCATGACACAACCGAATGTCAGAAAAAATCATATCATCGTCATGAACGTTTTTGACAGATGATGCCTATTAGAGTAAGCATTGATAAATATTTATGTAGGTTTAAGTCAGCTGTGATGCCGAGCTTATGTAGGTGTCATATAGTCTTGGGAACAGTAAAGTGTTACCAAACACTTTTATGAAAGTTGACCTGCTTACTTACCTATGAAGACAAAGATCCAGTTTGCTTCCAGTTTTGCAAACCATACATATTTCCACAGAAATATATTCCATCAAAATTATTGAAGTAAAAAAGGTCACCTGAGGGTCCTCCAAAGCAGGCAGAAACTGGATTTTATGGCTACTGTAATGAGTTTCCAAAATGAAGTCATTTGTCACACAGCTGCTAGAGCATGAGTCAGATAATATCTACAGAGCTGTGGCCTGGAAAGAACTCAGTTTGACACTTTTGCACTGGAATATGTGGTTTATTAAGTTAACAATTGGGCGACCTTCGTAAAGAGGGTACGGCTTCATATTTAGGACTGTTGTTTTCCACAGGTTGGAGAAGCACATGAGAAGACCCGAGAAAGCTCAGAGTACCTGAAACACCTCACGAATCAAGCTGTGATTCTACAGAGGACCATGAACATGATCTACAAAAACAGTTCTGGGGCCAGTATTACGCCTCTCAAAGTAAGTACATTTCATGTATGTGTTTTTGCCGTTTCACAAGTGAACTGTGGTGAACGTGTCTTCATTTTCTCCTAAACATAGCTGACTGCCCCGAGCCGGCTGTGGGTTGTGGAGCAGCTAAATCTCGTGACTGGCATTGTCCTGATCCCACTCAGGTAAGTTGTGAACAGAAAGTGCTGTTGTGTACAGAAAGATGTCTTTCAGGGGGACTTCTTAGTTACTTGCTATGTATTAATGTCACTTTGCTAGCTAGTTTAGCTAGCTTGCCCTGGTTCGCGAAACAGAGTTTTCAGCTGCAAGCAGGTGAGAGTGGCAGTGGTGGTAGCCACCAGTCACAGGCTGTACAGGTGTTTTTCTCACTTGTAAATGGCCATATTAAAATGCTACAAAACAGATTAAATGTGGGATTTCACCAGGTTTGGGAGCCAGAGTCAGTTGCTATCTGGGTTGTTTTCCTGTTTCCAGCAGGAACCTTGTCAAAAAAGTCACATAACCAGTAAAAAAAACTTACTCTGATTTTATTCACTTATTTCTTTTAAACAATTTCAACCCTTAAAAATTAAACTGTTGAGTTTTTATAATTCCAGGCCTCATCCAATTCCAAGGCCAGACCTTAAGGTTTGGCAACCCAAATGTCAATGACTGAATTAAACTGTTTTTGACTCTTCTACTTTTTTATTGTAATTTTCTCTTTTTGTTTGTTATTTTTCTCTTCATGGTCCCCTGATATGTCAACCTCTGTCTACTCTACACCCCTTTATATGGAAAGCAACAAGGACCTAGAGACCCTCAGAGCAAACTCTCAGAAAACAGCTGCTTAAATGCAAACAGAAAGGTTGGTTCAGGCGAAAAATTAAAGGAGCACCTCCTAATGTCTTTGATGATGGATGTGCAGCAGTGAAGATCTGCGGAGATTTGTAGTCTGTCAATGATGAGCACAAAGAATGATGTTAGGAATAAGATGACCATATTTGGTTTATAAAGGAATAAATGAGGAAGTAAAGGAGAATAATCTGCACCACTGGCCACAGCATGTTTATGATCTGAGTTCAAACCTGTAGACATGCTGCAAATGCTTTTTTGCATGTTTGGTCTTCATCAAAGTACCTCAAAGCTGCATTATTGCAAGATTTGTGGATTTGGAGATCTCTGGTGGAAATGTGTAGTTTATTTGTTCGTTGGTTGTGCTTCGGTCACCTTCCCCGAGAGTATGAATACGTTAAGGCGTATTCAAAGGGAACTCAGACAAAACTTGGTGAAGGATGTGTCTCCCAAGGATGTACCTTAATTATCTACTACGGTCATCATATCTTCATCAGTATAATGTTAATTTTGCATTTGAGATCTAAACATCAAACCAGACCTTTTTTTGTGCCTGTGCATGTGACATTAATACATAAAGATTTCAGGTTTTTCAGGCCGACTCACAGCAGCGCATACACAGCATATTTTCGCCTGTTTTTTGTCTTGACTCGATAATGCTACTTCTTTCAATTTTAACAAAACAAAAACTTACATAGTGCAGCTTTAAAGTTAAAGCAAAGAAATGTTTGGAATGTTTAGAATTTGCAAGAAACTAATATTCATTAGAAATCATTCAAACATAACTGACAGTGAATGTAAACCTTTCAGCACTTGTCCATAATATAGCTGCTTATGCCTTGTTTTTTATCTTCATATGTAACTACTGTATGAATGAACTGTGTGTTTGGAGTAAGGCTACATAAAGTACTTGTTTTGGATGGATATGCATGTAACTCTGAGTTTGTTCGTCTTTCATTGGGCACTTGAAAATGCCATTAACTGCATTGTGTGAAATGCTTTTGTGAAATGTGTAAAATTCTAAAATAAATAAAATTGGATGCAGTTGAATTGGTCATTCTGCCCTGTTCAATGGTTATTTGAAATGACTACATGGACACAAATGTACAGTGATCAAGTTTATGTGTACTGTGAAATAAATATAGTTAATTTGAGCATAAAAGGCAGTAATTTGTCAAGGAGTGATGCCATACCCATCCTCAGCCTAACAAAAGATTGTGTAATGCTTTCCAAATGTACAGTAAATACAGTAAATGACCTAGAATTTAGTGATTGTGTACAATGCCAGTTCAAATAAAGTTCATTTATGTAGTTCATTCTATAAAAGATATTATCACAACATATATTTGCATTATTGAGCAGGGCTTAGCAGCAAGAAAAAGTCAAATCGCAGGTATCGCGTGGAACTGGATAAGAACTGAACAAAACATTGCAAAACATGTGGTTTACTCTGATGTTAATATGGAAAAGTCTGAGAAAATAGAGTTTCAAACAATATGACGTATGTAAACATGAATTCTGTAAGTGTCATAGGGCTGATACATTAAAGGGCCCACATAATTGAAAACAGAATTTGCCTATTTTGTTGAAATAAAGAATGTGAAGTAGTAAGTAAATATTTGTCTTCAAACATACCTTTTTTCCCCAGTGCATACATTTCAAATAAATTAAAACTAAGCTGCAAAACCAGCCCATTTTGAATAATTACTTTTGTGATGTCACAAAAAACAACACATTTGCATATACACTATATAAGCAAAAGTAATGGGACACACCTCCTAATGATTGAGTTCCCATGTTTCACTGGCAGTAGAATAAGTCATCACGCCATAAAGCACAGTGCCACTGGATGTGTTCTGTGGCATGATTAATCACGCTTCTCTACCCAGCAGTCTAATAGACAACTTTGGGTTTGGCGAATGCCAGGAGAATGTTACCTGCCTGACTGCACAGTGCCAACTATAAAATTTGGTGGAGGAGGCATAATGGGGTTGTTTTTCAGGGGTTGGCCTAGGACCCTTAGTTCCAGTGAAGGGAAATCTTAATGCTTCTGCAGACCAAGACATTTTGGACAATTGTATACTTCCAACTTTGTGGGAACATTTTGGGGAAGAACCTTTTCTGTTCCAGCATGACTGAGCCCCAGTGCACAAAGCAAGGTCCATAAAGTCATGGCTGGGTGTGGAAGTTTGGTGTGGAAGAAACTGGACTGGCCCGCACAAAGCCCTGACCTCAACCCCATCAAACACCTTTGGGATGAACCAGAACGGAGACTGTGAGCCAGACCCTCTTGTCCAATATCAGTGTCTGACCTCACAAACGCTCTTCTGAATGAATTGGCAAAAATTCCCACAGACACACTCTAAAATCTTGTAGAAAGCTTCCCAGAAGAGCTGCAATGAGGGGGCCGACTCCATATTATGGATTTAGAATGGGATGTCATACAAACTCCTGTTGGTGTAATGTGTAGGTGTCCCAGTACTTTTGCCCATGCAGTGTATCTGCACATTCAGCCATCAGCAGTTTAACCCAGCCAATTCACATTTAATGAGTGTTTCAGCCTGGAGTGGTTTTTGAATGAGGTGTAAAACAAGGCAGCCAATCAGAGCAAAGGTCATTTACATATATCAGTTTTAAAGGTACAGTAACACCCTTGTAACAACCTGTTTAATTAGAGGTTTGATATTGGTTATGTAAAGATGAATTAACTATTCAGCATTTGAAACTGTCTCAGTATAAATGAAATGTGTGTAAATAATGTGAGATGATGTGTGAAGCTGAGAGGTCAACATGAAGATATTGAGGATGTCTGTATGGGTAAGGAGGTCCAGCAGTGTGGCCAGAAAGTTAGGACAGAGAAGGCTCATTTAAATCAAGATACATTATGGCTATCAGTGAATTGTAGCAGATTTTTTATACATCAGCTGAGTGTGTGTATGCAAAAACACAGTCACAGAATTGAAGATGCTAATTCATGTTTGTTAAGAGTAAAGCAGGAAACAGTGTTGAACTATGCTGTTGTAGAATGAGATGACCACCCTGAAACACCTTGCTGTGATAGAAATGCCACAATTACACTTATCGGCCGCCAATAACATTTAAACCACCTCCTTGTTTCTACACTCATTGTCCACTTTATCGGTTCCTCTTACTATATAGGAGCACTTTGTAGTTCTACAATTACAGACTGTAGTCCATCTGTTTCTCTGCATACTTTGTTAGCCCCCTTTTACCCTGTTCTTCAGTGGTCAGGACCCCCACAGGACCACCTCATTCACAGCACTGTAGTTACACTGATGTGGTGGCGGTGTGTTAGTGTGTGTTGCGCTGGTATGAGTGGATCAGACACAGCAGTGCTGCTGGAGTTTTTAAACTTCTCAGTGTCACTCCTGGACTGAGAATAGTCCACCAACCAAAATATCAAGCCAACAGTGTCCTGTGGGCAGCGTTCCTGTGACCACTGATGAAGGACTGGAGGATGACCAACACAAACTGCAGCAGCAGATGAGCTGTCATCTCTGACTTTACATCTACAAGGTGGACCAACAAGGTAGGAGTGTCTAATAGAGTGAACAGTGAGTGGACACAGTGTTTAACAACTCCAGCAGCACTGTTGTGTCTGATCCACTCGTACCACCAGCACAACACACCCTAACACACCACCACCAAGTCAGTGTGACTGCAGTGCTGAGAATGATCCACCAGCCAAATAATATCTGCTCTGTGGTGGTCCTGTGGGCGTCCTGACCGTTGAAAAACAGTGAACAGTGAAAGGGAGATAAAGTATGCAGAGAAACAGATGGACTACAGTCTAAAACTGTAGAACTACAAAGTGCACCTGTATGGTAAGTGGAGCTGATAAAGTGGACAATGAGCGTAGAAACAAGGAGGGGGTTTAGTCAAGTCAAGTCAGCTTTATTGTCAATACTACAATATGTACAGGACATACAGAGTATTGAAATTGTGTTACTCTCAGACCCCATGGTGTAGCAATAACATTAAATAGACAGTAAACAGGAAATGTATGAATTAAATAGACACTAAATAAACACTAAACACTAATCGTAAAAATAAACACTAATTGTAGAAAAACATAATAATAATAATAATAATAATAATAATAATAATAATAATATATACATATATATGTGTGTGTGTGTATGTATATATATATATATATATATATATATATATATATATATATGTTATGGCTGAGCAGTGTATTCATAAAGTAAAACATAAAATAATGTTTTTGTACCCTTTTAAATTAAATGCATTCTGTTTGACCTGTGATATGCTAAAATCAGGAAATCAGGAATAGTACTGAACACTGTTTCCTGATATTAGCATATCACATACTGTCCCAACTTTTGGAACTTGTAAATGTGTGTGACGAACATGTAACTGAGTCAAAGGGGACTTGTTTTCCTCATATATATATATATATATATATATATATATATATATATATATATTATATATATATATATATATATATATCACTGTCCTCCTGTGCTGATGTTCAGTGGTAGATCACCGGACTCAGTAGAGCTGAGTAATATCAGTGCTCCTTAAGGCGCGCGCGCCTCCCGTCGCTCTGTGCGCGTGGCCGAGAGCGCTGCAGAAATCAGGGAGGAGAAACCGGGCTGACCGAGCCGGAGGAGGATCGGAAGTGACTCGCCGCTCACACTCACCCTCATTCCTTTTATATATTTTTATTTTAGCTGTTTGCGTTACCTGGAAAACGAGAGGCGTTTCGTGTATCAAGGTAAGGAGTACTGGGTTTGGCAGAGTCGGTGTGAGGGGAGTGAGTCGGTCTGAACGGCTGTGTTTGTGGCTGAACGTGTTTGCGCTGTCCTGCCCGCTGTGTCTCTCAAAATGGCGGACAGGCCGTTAGAGCAGAACAGCGGGAGTGAATGAGGCCGGTAACGTTAGTGCTGCATCACAAACCCCGTCACCTGGACACAGAAGCAGCCGAGCGACAGTTCTGCTTTCGCCGAACGACACCGCTGTGGTCTGTCCGGCTAGTTTAACGTTAACTCGGTGAGACGGCCCGCCCGGCAGCTCTGGGTGTTCGTACTCGCTAACCAGCTAACGCGCTAGCATAGCAGCATCTCTAATTGGCCAGCTAGCGCAGCTCGGCTAGTTATCCAGTTCAAAAATGTTAGAGGACGCAGGCCTGGGTACGTGTTTATCTCCCTTTGGCTCCAGTTTAACACGGTCAGTCGCTGACATACCTCTACAGTAACGATCTCAGAGGCTAATGGCACAACACAGCCCGTATGTTTTGCTGTGCTTTGGGTGTGCCTATGATGTTTTTCTCTGAAAGGTGGGTCTGTATTCTGGACCCGGCTTGGTTCTTGCTGTTTGTTAGCTAGCTAGCTAGCTAGCTGGCTAACTGGAGCTCACCCTGCACTGTAAATAGCAAGCAAGGGCGTGTATCCCTGGTTTGTCCGTTAGCTTCATAATTTGCTTATAGTAAGTTACTGCTAATCCTGCTTCGCGACTGTGGCGAATTTAGTTTTATTTGCATTGTGTGTAAGTAGGACTATGGCCTGCTATCTAGGAGTTAAAAAAGCTTGATATTTCTGAGCTTTCACAGCTCGAAAAAAAATTTGTCAATAATAACGCGATAAGTAGATTTAGCCAAGTTAGCTAGCTAGCTAACTGTTCTGGTGGCTGCTTTTCGTGTTGTGCCTTTTCACTTCCAACAGACTAATAACTGTAGAGAATTAATGACTGTAGAGAACCACGCCGTGTGAGAAGGAGGTGTCACCCTTGTGCAAAGCTCGGTTATGAATGAACTAACATCATTAAATATAAGGTTAAGGCGTGCATCACTAGGAATTTCGCCAGTCCCTCCATTTGTGGTGTCTCCAGAGCCAGCACAGTTCATAATGTGATTAGTCTGCATTTATGCTATCACTGTTCATAGATGGGTGAGTGTACTGGGCTTATTTTGGCCAAAATGACATGATAAATGTCAAGCAACATAGGCCTAATATTCAACTTTCGCTTTCGTTGTCATTTTTTGTTAAGTCACATTTACATTTTCTTTCAATCACCCACTTGACCTTGACACCTGAGCTTTGACCTGGATGTATGTAAGCCTGTTGTAGGTGTAAAGAGCCTGTTAGGTGATGAGTGTTCATTAGCCATTTGATATTGCCTGCTTTTTATCGATGACAGTCAGTTTTCACTTGAAAACTGGGCAGCAAGCAGTTTTTTCTTGTTTGGAATTCAAAGTTTGTGCTTTTAAGCTTAATTTGTTGTAATATGAAAGCACCTTAAATGATCTGTTAGAAGTAATCAGTGGAGGCATGGCTTGTGTGTGTGTGTGTGTGTGTGTGTGTGTGTGTGTGTGTGTGTTTTTGTCCCTCTAGTAGTTCATTCTTCTATGGATGATGGTTTATGCTGTGACCCACTTTATTTAATTTGCTGCTGGCCTGTCTCTGTCTTTACCCTTACAGGCAAGCACACTTAAGAAAAATTCAAGACACCTTTTTATGTTGAGCTTATCCTACCTCGCACAGTGAAGCCCAGCCAATTTTAGGCCTAATCCGCTCAACCCCACTTGAGCACTTCAGACAGCAAAATTGGTGCTTCTGACTGTCAAAATGAAGGCCTTAACTTGCTCTCAAAAATACATGCGTCAGGTATTTTTGGCTTTTGAAAAGGTTTTGTTGGAGGGATTTGCTAAACTATTTTGCTGGATTCTTGGACCTTTTTGCATGAAGAGTGAGGGTGGGGAGATGCACATTCAGCATATTGATCCTGGCTCCTTCCCTTTTATCCAGGACATTGCCCATGTTTTTTATAAACATGTGCCTGTAGATAAGTCTACATCATAACACATGCATACACTCGTTCACATGTGTGCCCATTTCTCTAAGCCATACTGTCTGGTTTAAGTAAAGAAATGCCTTTCATGTGGTTTCACATAATTTAAAGCCTTATCGTTCTCATCATTTTTTGCTAATTTGTGGATATTAAATAAGTTTAAAGCCAAACCCCTTAGCACCCGCAAGTTTTTTTGCTCGAACAAGTTGAAGTCTTTGTCATAAACACAAGTTTATCTTCAGCATACTCGGTCACCTGATCTTGTTTCAAATATGTATAAGTAGATCTTCACTAGATCCAATTACAGCAACAAAAATAGATATTATGTAGTCAGGTTTTCAGTCATGTCATACAGTTGTGTTGTTCTGTATAGAAAAGGCATGTTTGCTCACATTTAACAGCTTTGTTGTTTTTAAGTTAATGGAAACAAGGGCTTTCTGGATAGGTTTAGTGGTATATTTCGGCTAAGTTTTGGGCTATCAAATGGCATGATATTCCAGCTAATGTTACGTACATGCAAATAATTGGATGTGAAAGGGTAGGACATTGACAACATGGCTCATAACATTTATACATTTCACATCTTGTATGAAAAGCATGTGTACTGCTCATGCCTGGTGATGGGGGCTCTTTCCTGAGAGCATGCTACTATGCTTTTATTTGTCTGTATATTTCTAACTATCTTATAACTGTACAGCCTGTGTTACTTCACACAGACAATAGTCACAATGGTCTGCCTGTTCTAGTTCCTCAGTCCTCCGTTAAAGCTAGGAAAGTATGCTAAATGCCTTCCCCTTTTCAAGCTTTTGCTCATGACTGCATATCCCTACAAAAAAGGCCTCTCACTGTAAGTCACCTCCATGCAAATAGTGACAGATAAATAATATAGAAAGCATTGATGCTTCATTCTCTCACAGTGACAGACTGACTCAGAGACATTAGGATTCTCATCATGGCCAGCCCAGGCCAAGTGCCCCTGATGAGCCATAGAGAAACAAGGCTTGCATTTGCCTGCGTCATAGAGCTGTTACAGTCCACAGGCCTAACCTGCACTGGTTTGCTTGTACTAGATAGTGACAGGACTGTATTCACCATGTTCAAAGTTCACAGCCTAGCGCCACTAATGGAATTAAAGACCAGCAATAAAGATATACAGCGGGTGAACAGTGATGTAATGCGTTGTCAGACTATTTAGATGCTTCCAAGTACACAAAGCCATTCATATGCAATAAAATTAAAGGTGGTATGAACAGAGCTATGGAGATGCATGAAAGTCAAATGGTGTTTATAAGGTAGATGTTGGGTGAGCAGTGGCTGCTTGGAAAGAGGATATTTTCTAGCTTTACACTTTTCCATTCAGCACTGTCTCAGGCATGACAGCATGACCTGTTATCTGGGTGTCAGAGTTGGCATACATGTGAGGACGGTTTCACCGCTCAGCTCTTCTGGTCAACCTTTGAGTTATGAGCAAGATTACCGCAGACTGCCTTAAAGTAACACTATGTACAACTTGGTGATTTGGAGGCCTCTCTAGTGGACATATGTAATTTCAAACAATGTGCGGAAGAACAATTTTGTAATGTCAGTTGTACTGAGGACCCCCCTGACTTTTGCAAGTGTGTTGAAAGAGGATTGGAAGAGAACTCAGTAAAAACTTAATGAAGGATGTGTCTTCTGAGGATGTAAGTGAATTATCTACTGTTGTCATTATATCTTCGTTAGTATAATGTTGATTTTGCATTTGAGACCTAAACATTGAGCGGGACCTTCTTTTTGAACCTGTGTGTGTGACGTTAATATGTGAAGATGCATGAGGTGTCAGAAAAACTGCCAAATCCATCCTGGTACCTCTGACTTTTAAATGACGTACACCTTGTTTTAGTGTGTTCTTTTTTTCCTCCATGCTCAATGTTATTTCTTTCAGTATTAACAAAAAAATGACATGACGCTGCCTTAAAGGAGTTGGTACAACATAAATGATTTTTGCTAATGAGACTTCTGTAGATCAGGTTTGACCACACCTGTTCTGGGCAGTTCTTGCAGGTATGGGCTTGTGTGGTTTTGTACATGAAGGGCAGCATTTTTAGAATGTTGCATTGTTTTACAAATCCTTCACTACGTCTGGAAGCATGGCTGCTTGGCTTTTATGTTTTGTCTGTCAGCTCGAGGCCAGATTATATATTTTTCACCTCTACCAAGCTATTCTAGTGAGCACCCTCCAGATTAGAGAGGATATTTGCAGCCTTGCTGAGACTGAGGGGATTAAAAAGCCATGTCTCTGTCTCCTAAACCCCTCCCCTCCGTTACCCCACTCCACCAAGACTCCTCTCCTTGGTTGTCTGGTGGTCTGTTTTAGTGGACCACCATCTTCTCTGGATTAGCTGAGGGGATTTAATGCTCTTGTCTCCTCCAGTGCCTCCAGTCTGGCTGCTCTGAGGGAGCCACATGGAGTTGTGGTGGCAGGACCTTACTCTCTACGTTTGCACTGTGGGAAGGCTACACTGGTCTTGCAGTTTTCAGCAGAAAGTTTGTAGGAGAGCGAAAGTTAGTGGACTGGACTGCTGTAATGAGATGAACTTGGCTTATCTTCTAATTAAACAAGTCCAGAGTCTTATCTTATTGTTGCTGTATGACAGTGGACTTTAGTCTGCAATCTTGTTGTCTTAAAGGTGAACGGTGAACAGCATTTATAATGCTTTAATATATTGATGTAATCTCTCTATCTCTCCCTCTCTATCTCTGTCTAGATGAAAGGAAGATCACACTGTTGAAAGTCATCTTTGCAGCTCTGCTCTGGTGTCAAGCTTGAGGAGACCGTGAGAACTGAGCCTGTGATTGGAAGGCTGCAGGTGCTGGAGTGACGTCTACCCCCGTGTGTGTGTCTCTCCTCTCTTGCGTCTCTCCTTTGGGGAGCTGCTGAGTGTGCTGAAGACCGTCCACAGGCTCCCTGCCCGGGGCAGAGACAGCGCCCCTTCACATCCACCACCATGGTGCTGTCACAGAGGCAACGAGACGAATTGTGAGTTCACAGCAAATGTAGAAAATGGCAGAAAAACTGAAAATGAGTGGAACTGCAGACACACCAGAGCATAACATCTGTGTATTGGTTAGTCCCTAATGAGAGAAATGGGGGGAAAAGCAAACTGATAGTTCATATTGTTCTGCTCATATTTATACTTGGGGATTTTAAACACAATTGTCTGCTGAATTTCATTAAGTCCTGATGTTATTGTGCATCCATTCATAATTTAGATGGCCTTTCTTTTAATTATTATTATTATTATTATTATTTTCTTTAATAGATAGAAGTATCCATGTTTCTTTCTGCTAAGAGTCCAAATAAAGAATTGTCTTGCAAAGGAGCGCTGTTCTCGGGGGGGCTTCACAGGGCAGCTAGTTAGCTTTAATATTTCATAAGCCTTCATATGAATGAGGGAGTGAGGATCGGTTGATAATTGCGTGACCAGCCTGGTCCTTTCTTCATGCTTCAGCTGGCGAAAGGGGCTGCTGTGAACTCCTTTAATTTCAGATTCTGGCTGGTAACCCTGTGGAATCAGATGCATGTGCTATAAGAAAAGGGGGAATATGACATCCCTATAAGACATACAGACGCCCCCCCCAACACACACACACACACACACACAGTTGACTTGTTTATGATGTACAGCATGATTTAAATGAAAATGAAAACTTTTTGTTGGGCATGTAATGTAAAGGTTGCATTACATGTCCTAACATTTTTCTTCAGTTTTTTGTTCTGTAGTGTAGTTCTGTGGTGGTCTGCTTGTTACTCTAACTTACTTGTTTTTCCTGATGGCTGAATCACTTGCTCACTTGCTCGCTTGCTCACTCAGTTGTTTCTCCAAAGCTACAGTTACCAACACCAGAGTGAATGAGGGTAAGGCAGGGCTCCTGACATCACTGGCTAAATTTAGCCACGTGGCCAGCTCATAAAATATTCACCACGATCTCAGAAGTGAAAAGCTCATTTACGTAATGATGAAGTGCTGGAAGACATAGACTGTTTGCCTGTGTGTGCGCTTGTTTCGTGTGTCCATCCGTCTGTGCTCGGTTCACCACGTTGGCTGGTGCCAAGGTTTGGCTGCATTTCCCGCTGTGTCATTTGAGAACATTTCCATCCTCTAGCTGTGGGATGGTAACTATGACAACAAGTGCACTGTTTTGTTTTGCTTGGTTAGTGTAGCCTGTATTTTTCATCCATTTAGGGATGGAAGCTTCAGTTTGTGTATCTGTATTTATTTTATTTTATTTTCTCTTCAGCTGTCACAGGCTATATCAGAGTTTGATGCAGCACGGAGCCTGTCTACTCCTGTGTCTCCCCTATTGATCTATTAATAATAATATAATATAATATATATATAAAATACTCTATCTATATATCTATCTATCTTCTTCTTCTTCTTCTTCTTAATTACAATAACTAGGGATTGCCCTGCATAGAGAATTAAATCTCGACCAACTCTGAGGTGGGTCTTAATGGAAAATGACTACTTCTAAGCAGTGCTGCACTTGGGGGATCTCTGACCGAACTGCAGCTGCAGCATTATTGTGCCGTTGTGGCACTGAACCCCTAATCAACACAGTGCACCAGGAAAAACAGCCAAAATCACAGAGGAATTGCGTGACCGCGCTGTGAGCTGCAGACAGTGTAGAACTCACACAGTGTGTCTTCACCTGTGGAGCTGCTTCTCTAAAGGCATTTTAAAACTAAAACATAACTTCAAATTAACATGCATCTGAGCTGCAGCAGAAACACTCCTGAAGTTTAATCTCAGAAACTCTGCTTTTCCCAAAAGCAGCACACAGTGTTTACTCGCGAGGTCCCGTCTCAAAGCACACTATCTTCCCTATGTAGTGCACTTCGTGGTCATGAAATAGCAAATCCTTCACCCAAAGAGTGCAAGAAACGTTCGACTAAGTCATCTATAATCAACATTAACAACAGGCTACAAAGTCCCTATTTAAAACTCAGCTGCTTGTTAATGATGATGGTGTTTGTTTGAACAGTAGCGCTCTACGTAGGGGACACTGAGTGATTTGAGACGGTGTTACTCTCCTCTCCGACAGTAAACACTGCAAGCTAGACGAGAAAGGGGAGCTGTGCAGATTGAACCTCTGCAGCGTCTCGTTCCAGAGCTCGTGTGACTGTTAACTCAGCTCGTTTTGGAGACTGCTCCACAGAAATGTGTTAAAAGCTTTAGTTTCGATTCACAGTGGATTCACCGATTGTTTTTCTTTTTTTTTTTTGACGCTAAAAGCTTCATTCTGTATGATTAACGAACCATAAGCATAAGTTAAACCACACAAACCGTGACATTTCTCCTATTTCAAAGTCCCCATGGACTCCATTAACGTTAACCTTGCATTCTCTAAAAAGTAGCTGGTGGTGGTCGCGAAATGACTCGTAAAGTTTGATGTGTTGCCCCCTTTCCCCGCATTTTTCTTTCGGCCTGTTCTGCAGACAGCGTGGTCATCTTTAATTAACTTTCCTTCTGCATCCTTATAAAACCCAAAATATGACCAAACGTCAGACTTGGTCTCCTTAGAAGGCTGAAATATCTCTGAATCTCCGAGTTTTCACACCGTGGTAATTGACCGCGGTTTTAACGATACTTTAAAGTTCAAACGGTGCTACTAACCGTCATTAATTTTACCGCGGTTTACCGTGAAACCGGTAACCGTTTCATCTCTTATATATATATATATATAGCATTGCTTGATGTATTCCTAGTTGGAACCCTGCCTGGATTGCAGTTGGTTTGAGACAGTCTGTGTCAATGCTTGGGTCAGCAGCAACATGAACAAAATGAAGACTGACCTTTGTTTTCCCCACTACTAATGTTGTTAACTCTCTTAGTTGTCACAGTTAGCTGTTGTCACTTACTTGTGATTGGGGTAAATTCAGTCAGTTGAAATTATTTCTTTTGTTCAGTATTGCTGAAGTGAAAAATATAATGGGGAAAAATAATCAATGTAGCTATGAAAATAAATGCTTACAAGTCTAGTATGTTCTGTATGCTGTATCTTTTGGTGTGTGCTGAACAGAAGCTCTTGTCATTTCAGAAATCGAGCGATAGCGGATTACCTCCGTTCTAATGGTTATGAAGAGGCCTACTCTGTTTTTAAGAAGGAGGCAGAGTTAGATATGGTAAGATCAGTTTCCCAAACAAAGATTGAGCGTAGTCCAAATCTCTGCTTAATCTGTGTCTCGGAAATTAACGTTGTTTGTTGAACAAATTAAAGTAGATCATTTACCTCTCTTGCATTATGTAAGATTGACATGGTAATAACAAACAGTCTCTCCTTTTTTGTTTTGCAGAATGAAGAATTAGATAAGAAGTATGCAGGCCTTTTGGAAAAGAAATGGACCTCAGTCATCAGATTACAAAAGAAGGTCAGTAGGCCTACATTGTTAGTCTGTTGTATTTGGTAAACATGATTTACACTAATTCTATTTACAGTGTAATCACTGAAGATATTTCATGTTTCTGTTTGGTGTAATTGCCTGTTAAATGTTGGTCAAGTATTATTGTTTAATTGCCAACCTTTAAATTAGTTGCGCATCTTTTAATTACTAATCTGTTCTGTTTTTGGCTGAGCAGATGTACAGAACATATCTTTAGGTTCATCTGTGATGTGCGCTTTTTTGGCAGGTGCCACGTTAAAGTCTAAGCAACAGCTAGTATGAAAGTGTCAAAGACACTCCTAACTTCCTAAAAAATGTCAATAGTAAAGGGTTTATATATATATATATATATATATATATATATATATATATATATATATATCTCACACACACACAAAGAGGGGTCATAAATGTTGTTTATAAGGCTAATACTGTTACACATTTAGATGTATACTTCAAAGGACTAACAAGGGTTTGTTAAAATCTGTCCTAGTATTTTTCTCATTTAGACGAACATAAGTGGTTCAGTAATGGATTTAGAGCGCTTGATGGACTAAACTAGTAACGTACCTGTCTGTTGCATTGAGGCAAAATTTGGCATTGAAAATGTATCATTTATAACATAAAGAGGTTGTAAGTACTTTATATATGATTTATAATTATATATAATAAGTAATTTTTTGCATCAGATTAAATTAATCGATTTTTAAGACAAGTAAGTGCAATGTTTAGCTTAACTCACATTGAGCTTTCTTCAGTAGCAAAACAATAGATAAAATCACCAGGACAGTCCATTTGCTGTTACTATGGCTCTATTGCCGTTCAAGTTTCTTGTCTTGTATTGCTTGCTAAGGTGATGGAGTTGGAATCCAAGCTGAATGAAGCTAAAGAGGAGATCACTTTAGGAGGCCCTGTGGGACAAAAGAGGGACCCCAAAGAGTGGATCCCACGCCCCCCAGAGAAGTACGCACTCAGCGGCCACAGGAGTCCCGTCACACGCGTCATCTTCCACCCTGTGTTCAGCGTTATGGTCTCTGCCTCAGAAGATGCCACCATCAAGGTGTGGTTTGGTTTCATTCTATAAATGAGGAAATTGAGCAAAGGGCTGCTGTTGGAGAATAGAAGTGTTTGTATGTGATTTGTTTTCCGGTCTATAATCCTCTTTTGCTGTGTTTGATTCTTACAAGAAGAACGTGCTCATTCTTTAATGCTGAGTCACTGACTGTCTCCATGGAGAAGCTGTGATGCACTGGTTGCCCAGGGCAACAGCACAGCCAGCAGTTCTCGGAGCATCAGTGCTACTCCCTGTTTTTTAATTGAAGGACTGTTATCATTTTCTGTTTCTTTGCTTCTCTTGATTTTGATCTTTATCTGAGGATCCATTCATCTAAAGACTGGAAAGAGATCAGTGCTGCTATATTTATTTTTTTTTTTATATAAGAACAAATGTTGGAGTGCCAGAGGCTTCTTCACCTCCCTGTTCTCTCTGTTGACATTCCACAGCGAACAGCTTCTAGGGAATAGAAAAGCTGCCTGACCTTTCTGGGTCTTTAAGATTGTAATCTGTCACAGCTGCATGTGTAATGTTATGGAGGAGAGAATGTTGGGCATTCTAGGGAAATGTCTTTGCCATGGCTGTGGGTTTACCTTTAGTCTGTCAAATCACCTCTCAGCCTACTCTTATGGCTGCTCTTAGAGCTGTAGTCAGTGCAGTTTGTCTGTGGAATTAATTCAGCAGAGATGTATGCTCTACACATGAAAAAGAGTAATCACATTTTGTGTCTATGACTGACGTGTTGGATTAAACTGGTTTAATAGTTTCTAAAATATATGGGGCCTTTTCATGTTTCCAATACAGTGTTGTCTGTTCAGGTATGCAGTTGTCTGATAATTAAAGCTAAGAATTACCGAATGTTAGGGTATTAGGGCTGCAACTAATGATTATTTTTGTAATTGATTAATCTGAACTTTTATTTGAGTAATCAGCTAACTGAACTGTTGTCTTCTGCCATTTCCTCTCACTGTACCCTGTTACAATGCCATTGTAATTCAAAATTCTGACAAGTGCTTCTTTATTCATGGTGCACGAAACAATAGAAACCATATCGCCCCCAACACTTCAGGTAATCTTTTGGAATGACCAATTCTATCATTACAGAACATAGAGGAGTGCTTTTTAATTAAATCAGTTTTTAATTAAATCAGTTTAATTTAATCAGTTTCTTTCCATAATAAATGTCATTGATGGCTAATCAGTTTTGTCAGCTAGTTACTGCAGCCTTGAAGAAAATTTGAATTATATAGAAAATTGTAACAACGGCTGATGATGAACCGTGTTACTCTGACCAGGAAACCAGTCAGAGGTGTTTGTATGAGAAGTGGCATAATTTGTATTAACGGAAAAGTATTACTTGAAATAAAATGTCCTTCACTTACAGTGTCTATGCTCAAATCTCCAGCCAAGACTCCTCAATTCATTCAATGAGGCAGTCTTGTCTCTCCTAATAATGATAAGCACAGTAATTGTCAACAGTATGACAGCAACTCAGCTTCTCTGACTTGTGTTTGTGTAGGTGTGGGACTATGAGGCAGGAGACTTTGAGCGCACTCTCAAAGGACACACAGACTCTGTGCAGGACATCTCCTTTGACCAGACTGGAAAGCTGCTGGCCTCCTGCTCAGCAGACATGACCATCAAACTCTGGGACTTCCAGGGCTTTGAGTGCATCAGGACCATGCATGGTGAGAGAACCACACTGTCATAACGTGGTCAAAGGTACTCTTTGAAAGTTCATCAGTTTGACCATTAGTTATCCCTAACATTTTAGCAGACACCACTAACATGTGGATGTTGTCTTATCCAGAAAGGCTTCCCTCATTACAAGTATCTCAGAATATAGATTCTTTACATTCCGTGTCTACATAAAGAACTGTGGGTTTTACGGCTTGTCTGGGAATAGGGCTGAAGCTTGTTTGGGGCAGGATTAGCAAACTTAAGGAGACAGCTTTAATCCTCTCAGTTAGATAACCGGGATTCCTTTTCCTCACGATTTAAGTAGGTTGGTAATTACTTTAACCATACGTAACCTGAATAAAGCATGTAAGGTCTTCTCTTGTAATACCGCTGATGTGTTTGTAACCTGATATTATGAAGTTGCATTTAGGACACTGCCTTGAAAAACTGTCATATTGAATATCGCCTCTGTTTCATTGCGTTATATAACAAGCCATCTTTATTTGAATTGACAGGGAAAATTCTTAGTTTTAGCTTTTAGCATTCTTCATGGACCTTTTCTTCCCCTCTCTTAGGACATGACCACAATGTGTCATCGGTTGCCATCATGCCCAATGGCGATCATATAGTATCTGCCTCGAGGGATAAGACCATTAAAATGTGGGAGGTGGCCACTGGGTGAGTTAAGAAGGCCTCTGACTGATTAGGCCTATGACATAGAGAGCTGTTTGTGAAATGGACTGAATAGTTTAACCAGGAACAGAATGATCCCATTGCTTTTACTTTTGAGTCATGGTGCTGAGTATCTAAAGTCAGACATCGTTTTGTAATCACTTTACAAAATATGGTTAAAATAAAGTGACTTTCACTGCTAATATGTTGCCAACTTGAAATTAAAAGTTCATATTGATCTTTACATTGGTAATCGTTCTTCATTTGTATCGTTTTAACTATAGTATGGTGAAGAAGGCAGAGTTAAAATGCAGCATTGCCGCATTGAGTCTTTGTTCTTGTGTCTTCCACGTGTAGTTACTGTGTGAAGACATTCACTGGACATCGGGAGTGGGTGAGGATGGTGCGGCCCAACCAGGACGGCACACTCTTGGCCAGCTGCTCCAATGACCAGACGGTGCGTGTGTGGGTGGCTGCCACTAAGGAGTGTAAAGCTGAACTAAGGGAGCATGAGCATGTGGTGGAGTGCATCTCCTGGGCTCCAGAGAGTGCACACCCCACCATACTGGAGGCCACTGGCTCTGAGGTTTGTGTGCATGTTGTGTGTGTGTGTTTGTTTTTTTTTTTTGTTTTTTTTTGGTGTATGATAAAATATTCATGCACAATATGATGCATATTTCTCTCAAAGCATGTGGTAGGGATACCTTCATGTAGTACTGGGTAGTGTACCAGTTTATCCAGTATACAAGTTGAAATTTGATATTCTTCCTGATGTATGAATTTTGCCATAGTCTTTACCAGTACGCACAAATAAGTGTAGATAATGTTGCCTACAAGCAGTGCAAAACACGTTAATCTTAGTCCATTTAACAAAATTGCTGAGTCACGGATATCTTAGTCATGGTTTTTTTTGCTGGGCCTAGAAAAGCCACTGTGTGCTTGTGTATAGGGTTAGGGTTAGAAAGCAAAATTGACAAAAGTTTACCTACATGTTAATCAGTTCTTGATATTGTGTGCCATAAATGTTTTAAATTTATTACATAAATATGGTTTTTAATAAAGTGAAGAAATATCCCAAAATAATACCTTTTTTGTAATTTTCTTCCCTTATGCAAACAGGAAACATCACTTCTTGCTCAGTTTGATTGTTAATTATGGTGTTTTTCCTTTTCCTGTGCTTCATGTAGAACAAGAAGAGTGGAAAACCTGGCCCCTTCCTGCTTTCGGGATCCCGAGACAAGACCATTAAGATGTGGGATGTCAGTACTGGCATGTGCCTTATGACACTGGTGAGTTAACCTTGACACTTTAGTTCCTGTGTATTTCAACCCAAAATATTACCATTTACAATAACATAAGAACTTGAAACGAGACTGTTTACCAATGACAGGCTGGAGTTTACCAGACATACCTTAACATTCATTTTCTGCATGATGGTACTCACTCTCCCTCCCTGTCTCAGGTTGGCCATGATAACTGGGTGCGCGGAGTGCTTTTCCACCCAGGAGGAAAGTTCATTGTGAGCTGTGCGGATGATAAGACCCTGCGCATCTGGGACTATAAGAACAAGCGCTGCATGAAGACCCTGAGTGCCCATGAACACTTTGTTACCTCTCTGGGTAAGGTAGCAAATATGCCGTTGCCTAGCGACGCCAGTCCCTGTACCTCACCTACATAATAAGTTAAAAAAAAATCATAGAGCAGTGCTCCGGGTTGATATTGATAAGCTGTAGGCTGAGTCGATCAATGATTTTGTTGCCTCGACTGTAGAACATTATCCTCACTGTAACTTTCCTCAGTATAATATGATTAGCAGCAAACCTTGGGTTTTGTTTCCAGTGTTTGTGAAGTGTAGTACTGTAAGAGCCTCTTAGAAAAGCATAGTAGAAGAAATGGGTATTTTCAAAACCTCTAATATACTAATATAAAACTAACAAATAAATAAATAAATATATATATATATATATATAATTTTTTTTTTATTATTATTTCTCCCCACTTAATCATACTTACGAGTGTTCTTTGTTTTATCCCCACAGATTTCCACAAGACTTCTCCCTACGTGGTAACAGGAAGTGTAGATCAAACAGTTAAAGTGTGGGAATGCCGCTGATCTCCCTTTGGCAGGCCCTGCTGCCCTTTGCCCCTCCTCTATACCATCACTCTTCCCTGTCCTGACACTTGTCCTTCAGGATGCACTCATCACCATGGCTACCACCTCATCCAGCTCTCTTCTAATACCTATTGTCCTTTTATGTAAATTATTCTGGATGTAGTTTGAGCTTATTAAATGTTACACAAGACACCCTCATAAGGAGAGGAAAAAAGTAAGAAAAAAGAAAAAAACGTATTCTTGCATGGTGAATCCAAAACTTGTATACTGTAAAAAAAATAAAATAAAAATAATAATAAATTTTGCTTACCATCGTGTAGAAGTTACCGATAAGGGTTAAAGAGCACCAGTGGTGCTCTGGCATCAAGCATCTCGTTACAGAAGGCAGAATGATCCTGTCTGGGGAATTCAAATACAGGGCACTTCAAATACAGCCAGTCTCACTTTTTTGTTCCTTGTTTTTTTATTTGTTATTTATTTTTTATTTTTTTGGGCCTGCCATAAAACAGTTGAACAGGATTACTATTACTATACTTCATGGATCACTATATATGACTTCTAGTTGCATGTGTATCTCTCTCTCTCCCCCCTGCTTTCAGTTAATGCAACAAAAATTAACTGGGTTGGATACATTGTTCTCCACTCACATCCCCCCCAAAGGACCTACCTTTATGATGCATTTTTAGGTGCTAAATGCTGTATAATAGTCATAAAATCTATGATGACGCATTTTAATGGATGTAGAAAATCTCACGTTTAAATGTTTATCTAGCTCTTGCCACGCAGGTGTATGGCACAGATGCCCTTGGTGAAGTCTTCTAGTTTTTTCCTGAATTTTAGGATTGAGTCTGACCTGAGCTGTAGCCCTTGAAGATGACTTTGATCCAAGGTCAGCAGTGACAAGTTTGGCATAATCTGCCTTTCCAGATTGACTTGACTGGCTTTAGTTTTTCATGACCCAGTCACGTGCCAGCAAATTTTGTCTGTGACATCAGACAAGAGATGCCTTGTGGAAAAAAAAAAATAGACAAGATGAGAAGATAACGAGAAGACGAATCAACAGTACGACCGGAACTGGCTTGTTTAAGTGCACTTGTTGAAGGAGGTACATGGTGTGCTGGATTTATGCTTTGATCCTTTCATTCTTTTCCATTTTATGCATGGAAAACCTTCTGTATTGCACCTTTTTCCTCACTTTTTTTGCTTTACCATGATTGTCCCAACCTGATTCACAGCTAGAAGGTTAAGAGAGCACCTCTTTTGTTTCGATGCTTGTAGTAAATGGGCTAATGCACATTCACCCCCCTCTGGACTATGTAATGAATAAATCAAAGCAAGGTTTTAATTGGAGAGTTTAAAAGCAGCCACCCACATTTTCATTCCCACCACCACAGACGGACAACTTGCCCCAAACATCAACTTGACATTATTATTATTTTTTTTTTTGTAGCCTGCACACTTAGTCAAAGCTTTGGCAACTTTTCAGTACACCAACAATTTTTATTTATTTATATTTTTTTTTTTGGGAATATACTCCCCTGTTCTAGACAAATTGTTGACTGCATGATCATAGCTGTGGTCTGTCTGTGTGGTTCCGCTGAAGGTGTTGCCATTGAAGACAGCTTTTTGACGTGTTCTCAGTGGTTCTGCTTTGTGTCATTGTGCTGGATGAGCTATCTAGTCAGGCTCGCTCGGATCAGAGAGTTTGGTGACACTTTGCAGATGAAATATCTCTGACAGACCTGCAGAGTCTGGTTGTGAGTGGAAATGGGAAGATGCCTCCAAGGTAGATCAACAAGTGCAATAACTCTAGGCTGCTCTATGTTAACTGTTGACAGAAAGGTATGTATGTATGTCTTGTGTGCACACTATGAATACGTTTGTAAGGAAAAAGCCTCCCTTGTGAGATGGAAAAATGAGAGAGGTAAAAAGTGGACCGTTTAACATCGATGTGGATTGAAAACCCCTCTCTAGCGTAAGGATAGGACGGAGAGGCAGCGTTTAGCAGACTTTAAGGGGTTATGTCAGTGGTGCACGCAGCTGTAACTGTTTCTAACAGCAGGTGTGTAGACCTAGCCTCTGCTATTCCAAAGCTGTGTATGTAGTATCAATGGACGTGTGAAAGGATATTAGAGCTTCTCTGTATGTGCAGTAGCTTTGTGCATCCAGTAAAGCTCAAAGTTCCGTTGTTTGCTTTCTATGCCTTGTTAATATACTGAAGTCCCCTTGACGTAAAGAACTTCATTCTGCTTTTTGTGATCTCACTGTTCTCACTCTCTCTCACACACACACACACACACACACACACATACATGCGCACACACACATACACTCACAAAATATAAATTGTGTACCAATATATCTGGATGTCATTGTTTGCAACATAATTAAGAGTAATAAAAACTGTAAATATAAAGCAATCCATTTGTATGTACTTTATTCTTTTATTGTCAAAAAGGGTTGAACTTAGAAGGGTTTGGTTTTTGTGAGTTGTCTTCTAGTCTGCTTGTAGTCTTGTAGTAAAAGGAATTGTTCTGTTTGGGGAAAAATGGAAAAATCTTATGTTTAAAAGGTTCTTTGCATGGTAAAATGGTTCTTTAGATTGGTGGAGAATGTGTTGTGAACATGTTTGGTTCTATATAGCACCAAAAGGGTTCTTCTGTTGTTACAAGCTTGACAATGCAACAACAGAGGAACACTTTCTCTATATAGAACCGTATACAACACATTCTCCATCAGTCTGAAGAACGATTTCACCAGGCAAATAACTAAGCATGAAATGGTTTTATATAGAACCATTACTTTTAGCAAAGAACCCTTGAAGAACCAGAGTGTACTCACATCTGATTCAACTCAGCCTATTGCCAAGTTTAGTAGGTGTGTTAACAGAAGGAAAATCACTAAACTGTGCTGGACACCAGCCCACCTGGGACCACTGTTCACCACCCCTGTTCTAAAGCGAGATGTCCTGTTTTAAATATTAGGAAAGCCCACTTTTAATGATGTCTTGATGGAAGTATATTTTAAAGAAAAAGTGTTTGAGGATAGACTGTTTTATTTATTTTATTTATGCATGTATTATTTTTTCTATCACTAATGCTAACTAGCACCACAGATTTATTAACTTACCAGATCGTAGATCAGTGGCTAGCAGTCAGGATTTGTTGAGCAATGTTGGGACTCCCAATGACTGTGTTATGTATTTGGGTAACGCATGCTGGGTATCGCAGTGAGAGAACACTGATCAATGAAAATTTGACAGAATTCATGACTTTGTAAACTGATGAGGCTGAGGAAATATAACGCTGTACTACAGAATACATACAAATTTAGGCCAGAATGCCCCTTTAATGTAGACCTGGTTCACATATACTGTATAAAAATTAGACATGGTAACAACATTTATTTTACATTTAGTTGCAGCTCACCTTGTAAGTTCAAATGTATCTTAATGAAATTATATGGTTCCAGCTGAGATGCAGACTGTTGTGCTTTGATTTGGGTGAGTGGTCACATGAGTGTCTCAGCACTGCAAGGCTGAGTTGCTATCTGGGACAGTGGGGTATGAAAAATGCAGTGATGCAGCCCCATCACCCCAAAACTGTGAGACAGGCCAATCACCTGATCAGCCTCAGACCTGCTTTCACTTCAGCAATGTGGAAAACCATGTGCTTATCTTTTGTGCCAAAAGACTTGTTTTGTTTTAATTTGTATACACTACAGCATGTTGCTCATTGATTTCTCAGATTGGTGATACTATTTCTGCCTTGACCTCCTCTTGTTGCACACATATATCCTTGCCTGACTCCAACATAGCAACAGTTCCCATGGAAATGGCGTGTGCAGTGACATTACTGCCTGAGTTCTATAAACACCATTTAGTCTAATAGTTCATTTTTGTGCTTATATAAACATTTTTAATTAGTTTCTTTAATTTTCTTGCTATTTCCATTGTTTACTGTAATGTTGAGAGAATGAGTCAATACACACCACTTCCAGTAAGAACTTGCCACACCTACCGACAAGGCCTCTTTGACAAGGCATCATCGTGCCCAGAAGAGAATGTTATTATTCCATTTAGTGTCAGCAACAATGTTCCAGACAAAATAAGCAAAAGAACAACCACAACTCAAACCAAGCCCCACTGTACGTGGATCAAAATCAAGAACATGATCCGTGGTACTTCAGACAGTTTGGATGACATTTTCTACAGCACACACAAACACACATGCTATAATCAGAGGGGGATTGAGGTCGTTACTCAATAATGCATCTCAGCCCACTGCATCAGACACATTTATCCACCAGCCACTGCTTTCCAATGCTCTGTATCCTGGCAACAGTAACTGTGTCTGCATGTGTGTGTGCACATCATCACAAGCAAGCAAAGCACAATTCCGGTGCGGTTGGAAAAAGACCACTGGCTCACCTCAGGACCCCAGAGCATGGCTGGAGAGCACTGAACACAAAGAGCTGACCATGCTATGTAGAATGGGGGCCATTTTAGGTGAAGGTGGTTCATTTGTTATTCTTATATACTGGGCCTACACAGTACACTCCAAAATTCTGAGACCACCCTTTCATATATTTCATTTTCAGTCTAAACGAGTTATTAATTTTTCTGGGTCAGGAACATAAACAGAAAACATATACTTAAAAGAAAATTACCTCAATAATTAAATCTTATTTTTTAGTATTTAGTGTGTCCACCCTTTTATTACAGCTGCCTTTCTTTTCAGGAGACTCACTTTCATTTTGTCAAGGAAGTCTGCTTTTTAAAAAAATGCTCCAATGTTTAGTCTTAGAAGCTGGTTGCGTTTTTTTTTTTTTCATCTCACCATCCAACTAATCCCAATTACAAATGAAGTCACATCTCTATCCCACTTCTGACACCAGTGTGGTGTCAGCTAAGAAAGAGACATGAGAAACATAGCACTTTAACAAAATGCTCCTTCACTGAACAGACGGCAAGGGGGGACTTCTGCCCAGCACTACTGATTGGCCAGGAAAGTGGAGCAGGTCACTTCTAGCCATACTCTCTCTGACGCAGGTCACTTCTAGCCATAAACTCTCTCTGACGCCCACAGCCCATCACAGAATAGCACAAGTAACACGTACACATCTCTAAGCCAACAATAACAACTTAATTACATGAATCCGGCTCCTCCCAAGTGCCTACTCACGTGGCCTCTCTGCATGGCCACGCCTCCCCACTTTTATAGCAGCACATGCCAATTGCGAGCCGCTACACTATTAACCAATAATATTATCTCAACTAGCTCAGAGACCCTCTCTGATACCATGTTTCACTTGGAAATGCAACACAGAACGAAAAGAAAATGCATTATGATTTCTGATACAAACCCTACTATAGTCGTAAGCACTTCAGCAAATTTCAAAGAGAAAAAAGCACTCAGTGTTATATACACAGACATCTGGAATTCAAACCCAAACAGCTATTTCTATTATTTCTACACTGCTGAGCAGTACTTATACCAGTTTTACCCAGAAAGATACATTACCATCTATTGTTGCTGCATTACTTGATGTTATAGCGTTAGTGAA